GTTAGTGGGATGGGGAGGGAATGGGATTTTGCAGTAGCCTTCCCCCAGGAGTGGGGGAGGGAATGGAGATTTTAAAGTATCCTTTTTCTGCCACAGCCACAGAACCGGTAGTAAAAATTTTTGAATCCCACCACTGTCCAGCATGCCAAAAACCTGCACTGAATAATTTGGAATGCATGACAATAATTTGCATTTAAGGTCAAAGAATATATGATTTGATTTGCACTCAACTTCAGCACATGAATTCAATTTTGATTAATTTTAAATTTCTCTAGCTACTGTCTAGACATCAAAGAATTTTAATGTGTAAGTATCCTTCAAAAGATTTTTCAGGCAACAAATTAGATTTTACTATGATGACCATATTTTCTTGGGAAAAAAAAATCTGAAAAGAGGGGCCAATCTGAGTTTTATCAAGATAAAATTTGTTTATGTTTATAACTTTGCTTTATAAAGAAAAAAACCAAGAGAAAAATCAAGAAAATAATTAAATTAGATAAATCTAAAGGACAGCCTTCCGAAGCAAAGGACTGTCCTGTCCTGTATGGTCACTGTAATTTTAAAGGACAAAGCTTCTAATTTAATTGGTAGATCACAGGCCTACAACTATTTTTCCAGGGTTATCCTAAAAACTGACAATATTTACATGGGTATATGCAGGGGTGGGATTCTACCAGTTCGGACTGGTTTTATAGAACCGGTTGTTAGATTATGCAAAGTTCAGAGAACCGGCAAATCATGCTCCTGGCTAGCCCCACCCCTCTGTGCCCACCTCTCCCCGCCCGGTCAGTCCTTTTGCATATTTCTTTTTTTTTCTTCCCGACATCAGCTGTGCCGGGATCCTTCTCACTGTCTTACTGCTTCACCTAGCAGACTTCCCTGAGGCCTAGGAGGCAAAATAAACGGAGTGCGCAGGGGGAGGGCTGCTGCAGCAAAAAAGCCACGCCCACCTAGTCACATTACCACACCTACCTAGCCACGCCCACAGAACTGGTAGTAAAAATATTTGTATCCCACCCCTGAGTACATGTGGAGATGGAAATTAATTAATGAGAATTATTTCAAGCACAGAGGGTTCTAGTTGACATAATATAAAGAACCATTACAAGAAGGTGTGCCTACTGCATGCAGGAGTAATTAAACCCAGTCTACTTGCAGTCTCTTTAGCATCATGTTTTTATCAAAATCCCTGAATTTTTTTTTCTCCCTTCTCCCAGGGTCAGAAGTCCACCGTGGGAAGCAATAAACCCATTCTGCTACATTCAAACACATGACTCATAAAAATGCTATTCACATTTTATCAGATATAATTTAGATTTGTTTTGCATTACTCTCCTTTTGGGCTGATACTAAAACTATTATGGTAATGATTTTGCAAATCAAAAAATGTATCAATATTTCTTTGTAAAGAATTTGATTTTCTCAAGTTTGGAGCAGAGCCAAGAAGATAGATTTGCTTTGCTAGATTTAAAATCCTGGATTGCAGACATTTTTTTACTTTCAGCTTTTAAACGGACTCTTTATCAAGACAGTAATAGTACTAGTCAATAGGAACCTGTGTGAGCAAAAAATATTTTGTATTAATTGAATCACCGTTATAGACTTATTGTCTGTCTATTCCTCAACTTACAACCATGTGTTTAGCGACTGCTTGAAATTACAACAGTATTGGAAAAAGTGATATGATCATTTTTTACACTTACAACTGTTGCAGGAATCCCCAGGGTCATGTGATCAAAATTTAGACACTTGGCAACTGACTCATATTTATGACGGTTGCAGTGTCCCAGGGTAAGGTGATCACTTTTGGCAACCTTCTGCCAAGTAAAATCAAGGGAAAAGCCAGATTCATTTAAAAACCATGTTACTAACTTAACAACGGCAGTGAGTTACTTAACAACTGTGGCAAGTAAAATGGGGCAAAACTGACTTAACAACTACTTGCTTAGCAATGAAAATTTTAGGCTTAATTGTGGTTGTAGGTTGAGGACTATCTTACATGTAGGTATATATATATTTGTTTTTATTTTGTTTTCCATTTTAGTTTCTTTGCTTTGGGAAGTTTCTTACACATACTGTTTTGCATTTCAGGAATTTCTTTTTTGTTAATTGTATATTATTGTAATAAAATAAAAATTATCATTTTATTATCATTGCACAATTGTCAAAATAAATATCTAAGTACAATGTGATGCCACGAAAAGTAAGTAAGTCAGGACAGTTGCCAGAATTTTAAAATTTAAGGAGGCTGTTTCGACAAAAATTATGCTTTCCTGAATTTTCATATATAAAATGATAAGGTAACAGCAGCTGTAAAAACAGAATCTTTCCAATGGAGACATATCTTAGCATCACAGCTGTTCAGTTTAGGGAAAACATATTTTATAATTTCAATTATGAACTCGAAATAGAAAAAGATCAGCCACCTTATTTGACTTGGCTGCCACCTTCTGGAAATCTGTGGAATACTGGAAGCTGGATTCTGACCAAGCCAGAGAAATTTCAATGCTTATTTTGCATTACGGTATGCCAGAATTTGCAGTCAATATCCTTGAATCAGTTGCTGAAGGCAAAACTTAAAAAAAGCCCATTATGACAAAGCTTTTCTTGGCTTCATCATCATCACTGACACTTCCTTTGGTTCTGTTGCCAGTGAATTGAAAATCAACATCATCATCAACAACAAGGGGATTCATTTGGTGCCTCTGGGAAGGTATTTCAACATATTTGATTGATAGACTATGACAGTGACAATGAACAAAAATGGGCAAGTACAATGCAGCTTATGCCAGGCGAGTAGTGAATAGATCAGATTTTCCTCCTCAGTAGAGGGAACGGTAATCAGACCCTGGTCTGAAAAATCAAACTCAAGGCTGAATGAGGAGTTGAAAAAGCATCTCAAAAAGTACCCCTCCCTTGTTTGGGGAGAGTAAAAATGAGGGATGGGAAAGATACTTTCAACTTGCAAGATTCTTACAATTCTAGCTTTATAATAATGACAGAGTTAGTATTCATTGCCATGCTTCTTGTCTGGACTCCATCAAAAGGTTAAGAGTAAGATAAATGTATGAATAAGAAAAATAAAATTTTTGGTTGATTTCGAAAAAGGATGCGGAGACTTGCGGAAATATGGAATTGAAGACTGATTGCTGAGCGTCAGATGAGCAGTTTATGAAAGAAACAAGGCATATAGGGGAATAAAATAAATGCTTTGTGAATGGCTCAACATGAAATAGAAAGACAAGGATGCTCATAATGGAGAATATACCAGGCTGTTTTTGTGTTGTCTGTTCCTGGCCACTAGACCCTTGCTTGTAATGTGTATTATCCGGTAAAGGCCTCCTTACTCTCTTATAATCCCTTCTTCTCCAATAAATGTAAATAGAAAGATTAATTCCCTTCTTGTTCATTATCCAGGCAGGTGTGAAACTGATTAATCTTGTCAGTTTCAAGCTGGTTACTCCAGTGCTCAGGGGATGAACTGGGAACGAGGAAAAGGAAAGCAGAGTTCTGGTCACGTGGTTTCCCATTTACAACTGCTTTGCTCAGTGATGAAGTTGCCAGTCCCAATTGTGGTTGCTAAAGGAGGACTGCCTGTATATAGGAAGATATACATAAAAGGTTGGAAAATAGAGTACATATGTGAATCAGTATACTTTGCTGGAATATCCACTAATGATGTGGGAAAAAGATTTTAATATAATATGTGTGGATGTCTGTTGAAAGCTAGTGGTATATGCACCAACAGAAACCTAGTGGTATTTAAACTAAATGTCTTGTGTGCAAGAGTGAGGTTTTTCCTGTTTTGGTATGTGAAATGAAAGCGGGTTATTTAAGAAGCAGGTCTGCTTAGAAAAAGAGAAAATCAAGAATGAATGTGGATCGAATACAAAAGTCACTGACCAGTATAAATAAAGCACACTGAAGGATTTTTGATCTTATAAAGACAATGAATCAGGATCTAATTACAAAACAAATACACAATTGAAATATATATAATGAGATCAAGAAGAAAATTACTAAAGTTGTATTTAATTGGAGCTGATGAGTTCCTTAAAAAGAAAAATGAAAACTGAAGAAACAAAAAGCAATCTACCAAGCAATGCATGGATGTCACGGAAGAAAGGATGGTTTAGTTGTGATTCCTTTTTACTTTACTTCCATTGAAATACTACTTTTTCCTTTTCTGTGTTTTGCATAACATTGCTTGTCCAATAGCATTGTGGATGTGGATGTAAACTGAAATATAAAGCATTTTATGGAGCGCTTAAATTAAATTTGATAGAATATAGAGTTTGGGGCATTTCTAAAAAGTGTGAGAAGCTGGGAATGTCTAGAATCAATGATTTTAGATGGGTTCCATTACTGACAGGATTCCCACCCCCCACCCAAAAAAACCAGGTACTTTAATGTAAGAGGCTTTTTTGGTAACTTAAATGTACTCCACTTGCCTTCCTAGCTAGAAAGAGAGCAAAGACAGCAACCTAGCCTTGCTCTCACTTTGAACAGAATGTCACACCCAAGAAAGATGTTACATTTTTTTGCAAACAATAATTTAATAGCTGAATATTAAAGTCCTTTTCTATATAGCAGTTTCACTCTCTAGTGCTAAAAGAATACAATATATGCAATCAAACATGCATTTGATTGTTCATATGTTGTCTTGAACACTAAGTAAAGAAAGAGCACGATTGGAAGAAAGACAGAGTGGTACAGTGCAGTGAATTTTGCAATCCATAATTGATGTATTGACTGCAATATGTGCACTCCACCAAATGGAACTTATTAAAAATGTTTAAAAACTGGGACAGTGAAATGTGGCCCCAGCTAGAAAATCTAGAGATGAAGTAATGTACACTTCGCTTATATTTCTTTACACTACATTTTTTTTTGAAAGAATGAATGCTTTTGTGATATATTCCAAATTATGAATGATCTGTAATAATGACAAGATAGCGAACAAACTAGAGAGAAAAGTATTACGCCCTTGATATATTTACCATTGTCTGGAGTTGTTTCATGTTCCATGACAAGCTCATAGTCATGACCCCTTTTCTTTGAAGAAGACACTGCAAGGAAACTTCCAAAGGTCCTTGGACGCCCAAAAGTAATATTTTTTTCCCATCTAGGGTAGTACATGCTAAAAGCAAAAGATAACAGTTGTTCTCATTATCTACAGTAACAGCAAATTACTAGAAAAACAAAATGAAACAAAACGTATTAAAATGGGAGCTTAGTGTTCCTAAACTGATAAAAAAGCTAGACACAGAGCACACTGATTAAGTTTGACAGACTGAGAGACTAAAAGTAGGTTTTTATGCACGGTTATGAAAAAAACGTTGTTTTGGTGTGAATAGCAGAAATATTAATGACAACTTTGACAACATTAATGAAATACAGTTTGGTGTAGTAATTTAAAGGGCTGGCCAAGAAACCAGGGACTGTTGAGTTCTAGGCCTCCCTTAGGCATAAAAGCCGGCAGGGTGACTTTGGACCAGTCGCTCTCTCTCAATCCAGTCCCAACTCACAGGGTTGATATAATGGGAAAAATAGAAGGAAGAAGTATTGTGCAAGTTCACCTCCTTGAGTTACATATATATTTTAAAAGTGAAATAAAAATATAATACTATGCTCCATTAAAAATAATACACATTTAATGTTGCTTGTTTAGTCACGTTAATTGCATCCAGTGCCAAACAGATACATGTGGTATTCCATTTTTTTAAAATTTACGATTACAATTTCTTACTTCTATACTCTCTATTAAAGTCTCAGAAGTCTTGGTGATTTTTTTTTTTTAAAAAAAACAAGTTTTATTAATTTCAACAACAAACAAATCATTACATATTTAAATCTTTCCTGTATTTCCACAAAAATTTCCCCAATATTCTCATAAAACACAAACAAACACAAACAAACATATAAAAAATCTTTTAGTAAAGTACCTTGGCCCCAGTTACCTCTCTTTGTATGGGCAGCGCATTTCACTCTTCACAATTCTATCTTATTTAATCCATCTTAATTAAATCATTATATTTATATCTTTTGCCCATTCATTATCCCTCTATCTCTTCTTATAATAAAAAGAATTTCTCCTGAAATCACTAATCAGAGTATGATGCCTTTCTATCCTCCCCCTTAGTTAGTAAAATTAACATTCAACATAACAAATACCCAATTCGGTTCTGCTTGGTACATTCTATCCACCAAAAATGTTTAAATACATTGTATCCTCCTTTCCTTCAATATTTTATTACATTTTAAAAATCAATCATTATTAAAAAAACTTCAACATTTTAATTTCTTATTAAATCTTAAACCATTCTAATTTACTATTTCAAATATAAATGTTACAATACCATCTTCTGTACCTAGCAGAATCTTTCTTACAGAAGTTTATATTTCATCCTTTGTCCCTAAAAAAAATTCCTCTTCTCCCATCCAATTTTAAAACTTTGAGGCTTTTCTCCGCCTTTCCCCTTTCTTTCTTCCCCCACCAAATCTTCCTACCCCCCCTTCTTCTGGGATCCCTTCTCTGTTGTGTTCCCTTTTTCTGGAGGAGTTTCCGGTTTGTCGGCTTCGCGAGCGGTAGGGATTCGCAAAGCTGCGCGATCCCTGCCGCGCTAGCCGTTTTGGGGCTCCGATCCGGACGGGTGCGGAGCAAGGCTGCCCTGCAGGGGTAGCTGAAGGTAAGGGGGATCCGGAGGAAGGGTCTGGGGGTGTTGCAGACCCCCTCCCTGGCCGGCAGAACCCCCTTTTACCAGGACGGTGCAGCGGCGGTCCGTAATGGCCGCCACAAAGAAGTCGGCAGCCGGGCAAGTATGCGCAGGAGGAAGAAGGGAAAGTTATTAAAAGTGAAAGTTATTCTTGGTCGACCCAGGGCTTTGAGATTCATCTAATTTAATTCCTGGAAAAGAAGTCTTGGTGATTTAAGGTTATTCTGTATCACACCCTTTCATACCCTATAATGTCCTCTCGTTCATTCATTCACCTACTTCAGGGGTTCCCAGCCAACTACTGAGCTGTGGTCTATTTGGAACCGGGCCCCGCGAGCGGTGGGATGGCATGCACATGCATGCAGTTCGATTTGCATAAGCAACAGGCCAGCGCGCATGCACACGTGTGTGTGCAGCTCAACTTGCACAAGTCAAGGTGCACATGCATGCCAGCCCATTGCTCCCACAATTTGAGAAGTGCGTGTGCACACGTGCACTTACTGCTCATGTGGCCAAGTTCTCTTCTCCCCTCCCCCTGTCAGGCTGGCAAGCCATAAAGATTGAGAACCTCTGATCTATTCCACACACAAACACATACAACTCATTTTGAGGTGCAGGGCATTCAGAAATTTGGTTCTTCCTTTCTCACTGTAGCATCACCCAAGCATGAATCTGCATCTTTAACATTAGAGATCTGCAGCACTTGAAAAAGTGCTTTAAAACCAACATGGCTAAAATAGGACTTTGAGCTAAGTGCCAGCAAAGTTCAATAAGATGCTTTTAGAGTATATGGAAATGCTATTCTCCTTAATTCAAACCTGTATTTCCTTGGAATTGCACAGCTACCTCATGAGCCCAGGAAAACATACACCTTTTTTCATTAGGTGCCACTGGTGAGGTTTGTATGTGCACCTATGCCCTCTCTAAAGTATCTTTTTAGCTTCAAATATGAAATGCTATAGTAACTCTGATGATCACGGTATATGAAAAGTCAAAAATATAATCAGACATTCTTAATTCTCTGCCAAATTTTAATAGCCTATTATGTGTAAACTCACATGTGGCTCAGGTGCTGAATGAACAACTCTATTGTGCAGAAGTAAATAAGCAGAAAAAAAATTGTGTATATTTATGCATGAAGCACTTTTCTATTCATTAGTCCCATTAACTTTAACAAATGGCACTTGCTTTTCAGACTCCCGTGGAAATCTGAAAAAGTTCGATGACATTAAGAAACAGCAAACAGCTTCTTCAGATCATGTTTGAGACATGCATACACCTAAATATCGTACCTTGTCAGTGATTATTTCAATGATCATGAATAAACTTACAAACTTACAACCCACAATTTATTAGTAGTGGAGATTGTGCAGGAAATAGAATAGAATAGAATACTTTATTGGCCAAGTGTGATTGGACACACAAGGAATTTGTTTTGCTGTAAATACTCTCAGTAGAAATAATGGAAAGAAATAATGGAAAGCTCACAGGCAAACCAATAAGGAAAGGAGGATTGAGCAATTTATTTCTTCTTTTTATATGTTCTTTTTCTGTTTGTCAGTATTGTAAAAGGAAGGTAGAAGCAACAGCTTTCTCCTCCTTTTTATCTGAATAGCATCAACATTTTATGCCCATTAACAATTCAGTACAAATAAGCGGCCTAGCAGAAACCACTGCCAATTCCATTGAAAATGAGCATTGCAATCAGTAGAACACTAGATTTGTACCATTTATTTTAGTAAATAATACTGATTCTGATTTAGCTGAATAGTGAATTTGCAAGACTGGCTAGTTATTTAGAAAAGTTGTCATTGAGAAGTTATATTTCATTCAGGCAGGTCAAACATGAATCAAGACAAGCTAAGAACAGTGACCTGAGATAATAAATATAATTTACTGTTGTACCTTGCTTTTCCAGAAGTTTGATCACTGCACTGGCAGTAGGGGGAACCACACATTCACGTATGTCTCCATGCACTAATCTTGCCAAATTAAAATCTGTTATTCTGTAACAAAAATAAGAGATTTAGGTAAGAAAATGCAAGCAAAAGCGTTGGTGTTATTTTTAAAAGAAAAACCATGATACAAGGACAACGCAAAGGATTCGGTAACAAGCTGATCTTTTTTATTAGCATGTGGATGCTTAAAACTTAATCCAGCTCTGCTCAGCATGATCCTCACATACTTCTAAACCAGGGGTGGACTTCAAAAATTTTAGCAAAAGGTTCTCTGCCTGGTTGCTGGGTGGGCGTAGCCATGGTGGGCGTGGCCTAGTTGGCCTTCCGCATCATGGTGGGGGGGTGTTTTTGCTCTACCTGGGTTTCGGAGGCTTTCCTTGAGCCTCCAGGTGGGTGAAAACGGCTTCCCCAGGCTCCAGAGGCTCTCCTGAAGCTGGAAACAGGCCCATTTGCGGCCTTCCCGAACTTCCAGGAGGCCCAATTTTTGCCCTCCCTGAGCCTCCGCGCACACCCTGCATCCAAAATGGGCCACGTAAGTACCTGAATCCAAAATGGGCCATGTGGGGACTCCAGGGAGGGAAGGGGCAAGGTGGGCGGGGCCAGCCAGGAGTGGGATTTGGGCAGTGGTGAGATTCAAATTTTTTTACTACCGGTTCTGTGGGCGTGGCTTGGTGGGCGTGGCAGGGGAAGGATACTGTAAAATCTCCAGTCAGAGGTGGTATTTGCCAGTTCTCCGAACTATTCAAAATTTCCGCTACCGGTTCTCCAGAACTGGTCAGAACCTGCTGAATATCACCTCTGGATTTGGGGGTTCTCTGAACTGCACAGAATCTTTGCTAGAGGCTCTCCTGAACCCCTGCAAACCCCCAGTAGCCCACCCCTGTCCTAAACCATGAAGTCTTAGATTGCCTACCCTTGGTCTGCTGATGTTAAAAAAAAGCTCTCTCAGTGAATCATTTCAATATCTGAAGGTATCTTATTTGTGTCTTCTGTCCTTCATTCTCCTGTCCCTCCCACCCCTAGTTCCAATGGCCCAGGCAATTAGTCTGAATACAATAGTGGTAAATCAGACCTAAAACCTGGAAACTAAAAATTGCACCCCAACACCTGCAAGCAACCACTAACTCCTTTATTTTACCCCTGGGTTCTCTAACCAGCATTTTGGCTCTTTTTGTGGAACCTTTCCTAGGTTCCAATTTCTACCTCTTAAAACTACTCCCCCCTCCCCAACTGCAGCCCAGTCCACTTTTTAAGTCCAGCAGTGTATATGCTGGTCAAAGTCTAGTGAGGTCCCTCATGATCCAAATTCAGTTCTGTAAATCACTGAATAGGCAAGTTATATTCCCAGTGTTCTTCAGAAGGAGCCATGGCCTATATCTCTTAAAAGCAGCTGTGAAGCTCTTAATCCCCTTGTCACAATGCTACCTATGCTTCCACACCCGTTTTGCTTGGCCTGAAGAAGATGGGAATGAAGAATATCCCTGAAACATCTAGATACAGCTGAGAGAACTCTGTTATTAGTTTATATATTAGACATATCTTGAGTTGTTTTTATTGTTTAAATAATTGGCTTTTGTCATTACAGTTTAGCAGTACAGACACATTTCAGCAGCTTGGAATAGGATAAAAGACTTTAAGAAGGGCCTTAAAAACAACATCTGATATCTTTGAACACCCTCTTTTGTGGGTTTGTAGAATGCCAAGGTCATGTTCTAACCAACATGATTTACAGAATAGCTTTATATTTAATTTCAGAAAACTACTAGCTTATTTTTCTTGCTCATCTGTTCTTAGGAAGCATGAAATCCATATGGTTGCACAACTTTTTTAAAGATGTAAAATCCAGATCTGCTCACCGAAATTTACTAAGCTTAACTTACCCATTCACATCTTTCTCTGGTTTCACAGCATTCAATATTTTGCTTGTGTACGATTCTCTACAAAGGCGGAGGAGAAGGCCATGAATTCTAGGATCCTCGTTGAGTTTTTCAATTTCACCTATGACCTAAAAGGTAAAAGAAGGTTAACAAAGCCAAATTTTAAAAGAGCCATGCTACCAATAAAAATATTATCATATATAAAGTTATTGAAAGTTTAAAATATTAAGAAGCTGCTTAGTGGCAAATGCTCTTTCACTTGCAAAAATACACTCAGAATTATGATCATTTGTTTTAAAAAATCATTATGGTCCTGTTGTACTTATGTCATTTATAGCAGTTACATGAACTACATGTCCAACTGAGGAATGGTGCTCCACAATAAAGGAACCGTATGAAAATGAGGTTACATGAAAGCAGATCAAGGAGGTGTGTGGGAGTCAGATATCAGTACAAAGCTTGAATCTGCAGCAATCCACAAGTTCAGACAGTCAACAGAAAGAGCAGTCATAGCATGGCTGCACAAGTACTGTCAGCAACATTTATTCTATTCAGTAAAAAGAAGGCAACAAAGATAAAATCATAATTGCAGCATGGAAAAAGTCCAACACATCAGATAAATGAATGAATATCGTACAGGAAATCTGGACAACATCTTTCACTGGAAAATCCACAGGTCATGAACAAACTTGCAGACCACAACAATACTAGACCTCTGCAAAAATAATAGGATGCGCGTTTTTCCCCTTTTACCCATTCAGCTTACTGTCCTTCCCTAAATATTCTCTAATGGAGTATAGTAAGGGAGGATATTATAAGAACATGAAGAAAGTAGCTGTTTGTTTTTAAGGACTCAGTATCTACAAAATGGAAGAGGAGTTACAGGTGAAACTCGAAAAATTAGCATATCATGCAAAAGTTCATTTATTTCAGTAATGCAACTTAAAAGTGTTAAGTTGCATTACTGAAATATATGAACTTTTGCACGATATTCTATTTTTTCGAGTTTCACCTGGATGTGTAAAAATGTATATCAATCAATATTTTCTTCCCATAAGCGTCAGCCTGGGAAATCCACATGGCAAAAAACAGCAAGTTGTGTTTTCTTACTTGTGTCCTCCAGCAACTTGCATTCCCATGGCATTCAAATACACCATATTTACTACTTGTTAGTGTGTGTGTGTGTGTGTGTAGGTGTGCACACATACTCATAAATACACCCTGGGTAAGTTTATGATTCTTCATGATTGTCTGGACATGCCCCTGCAGTTTTCCTGCCGAGGTGTTTCAGAAGTGGCTTTCCACCGCCTGCTTCCTAGGTCTGAGAGAGTGGAAGTGGCCCAAGGTCACCCAGCTGGCTTTGTGCCTAAAGCAGGACTAGAATTTACAGTCTCTAGCCTGCTTTCTAGGCTCCTGCCTTGAGCATTACACCAAACTGGCTCTTTGTCACCAGTATTGGGGGCAATTAAAAAACATTAAGACTTGACATTATTAATAATCATATTCTCCATATTCTCAACTTACTTTCATTTTTCAACTTCTCAGAACGGAACGCAGAAGGATAAAGGTATTTTGGAGAACTATAAGTAAACAGGCACAAATACATTTGAGCTAACCTACAAAGCTAGTGACAGCATTCAGATGACCATGGCAAATCCTGATAAAAGCTAATAGGTTGGATATGGCAAGTATAAGGGTATGTGGGAACAATCAGATAAGGAGGGTAAGCCCACAGCTACATAACAGAGAGTGAAACAAACATAAAAAGGATTCTCCCTAATTTATCAGGCTATAAAAAGAGGTGGTGAGAGATTTCAAGTTTCAAACTTGTATGATTCTGTTAGCATTACAATAAAATAGAATTAGGTCATCTGCTTATGTTTCCTTTCTGATCTACCTGGTAAGGCTGACAGCAAGCCTTTGTGAAAGAATAGCATAGTAATTTGATGAAAGCACTCTGAAAGAAGGCACCAATAAATTACTTCTAGATTACCATCGTGGGTATGTCCATGTGGGTACCAGAAATAAAGCTTACCTCAAAAGAGAGCTTATATTTTCATTGCACTGTGCCAACTTGCCAGATCTGAAAACTTTGATCAAGTTTTGTGGATAAACTTGCCAGAACATGTAATTAAGCTTCAGATGCACTTATTAATTTATGTCTAGTTTAATCTGAGGGATTGAAACATGAAAATAATCCTGTGTTGGCAGAAATCATAGCATAACCTTAGGGGAAAACGTTACAACATTAATAATCAATATTTTTTTTGGAATCCTGCAGGAAACTCTGTGCTTGGTATTAATTTAATTTTTCATATGTGTCAACTATGATTCACATTCAATTCTCAATAATATGTTCGTTCATAAATCCACATATTTGTTAAAATATATAAAATTATGTATACATTTGTACACAAAAGCAAGTCCCACTACATTTTATGGCTTATTCCCAGATAACTGGATATAACATCATAGCTTTAACTTCTTTTTGAAATTCTGTTGATTTACTGGTTGATTATAAGCTTGGATCAGATAATTTCCATATCTAATAGAGAAATGTTTATCTTTTCAGATGTAGCTTTTGATATCTTTTGAAAAGCTACATTTAAGAAAAATAACTATTTGTGCATAGAAATGTTTCTTTTTGCACAAAGGAATCTTTGAATTTATGCCACACCGACAGTTTTTGTTGTTGCTCATTTTGTAGTCATGCCATTGTAAAACCAGTACATATAAATTACATAAAATGGAGCATGAGATCACTGCAGTGATAATTCTGAAGAGAATTCCCCAAATAGTACTGAGCTGAAAACTTTTTTATTTGATCATTGGAACATTTCACATTCAACAGTTTTTGGATTCTGATTGGTAAAGTACCTTCTGATAGCAATGTAGATATAAATAAACAACTGTACTAGTTTTTATTTGGATAGAACTAAAAATGTCATATTTAAATATCTCAATGTGATTTTATTTGGACTGAATGTGTTTATGAACTAAGCAATTGCAATTACAATATATATACACAAGTAATACTATTTTACTCACTAACTTAATTAAATCCCATAGCTTTTCAAAAAGTAGAGTAAACTTGCATAGGATTGAGATAATTATTTCTAAGATTATATTAATGAATGGCATCCAGTGATTTCCAGGATATCAAAGATTTAATCCAACAATACAAAATATGTAAATAAGTAGAATTTTAAAAATGTTTACCTCATTTTCAGTACTGTCATGGGGAAGACAAATATGAACAATATCCACACCAATCTACAAAAGAAAAAATTGATTTCAAATAAATTCAACCATCTTTCAATACTTAAACTGTTTTTAGTGAGGAATTTTTTTCTTCATATTTTTACCTCTTTAGCAACGTTTCTGATAATTTCTTGTCCCAAATAATCATCACCAACCTTGAATATAAATAGAAAAGGAATATAAAATTGTAATAGGCTAAATAAAATATTCTAAAAAAAGCAATGGTCTGCAAGTCATAACTGAAGTAAAAGTGGCAAGAAATCACAGATTTGAAATTGAGTATATGATTAATTGAACTGAATAGAAAATGCTTGTATTCCACAACTAACATATAAGAAGCAAATTTAGGGTGGATTATCAAATATCTTTCACAAGATCCATGATATGGAATTGCTTTACAAATTTTTGAAATTATTTTAGCAAAATCTGACCTTTTTGTATTCTTGTAGGAGTACAAAAAGCAAAACATAGAAATGGAAACACAGTAGCATGATTTTCAGATACACAGCAAAAACAAAAAACAAACAAAAAGAAAAGCCTAGGACCCTGTGCAGGAATATTCTAGCATTTTGACTCTCCTAGGTATACGAGGAAATTTTATTGCAACAAATATGGCATTATGCATACATGGTGGTTTCTTAAGCAGAAGATGAAACAGCACAATAAGAAATTGTAGTGTAGTGCAGCTTTTCACACTTGACTCCATAAAGATGTGTTGGATTTCAACTCTTACAACTCCAAGACTGTATAAACAATGGAGGGCAATAGACTGCCTGCCACTGGCATAAACCCAATGGAGCATTTGTATTAAGTTGTTCCAATCCCCCTTTTCAACTTGTCTGGTATGCCATACTGAGTTATGTTCTGAAGCAGCATCCAAAATTCAGACCTGTTTTTTAGGAGGGCTACAAAGGATGGGATATCACCAGATCCAACACCATGTGATTCTTATTGAGAGATAATTGGAAATGTAACCTCATCTGAAATTTAATTGCAATATATTACATCCACCTATTAAGGAAATGTAAGAATATATTATTCTTACCAGCTATCTGTGCAACATGCAACAGACACTCTTACAAAATCTATCTCAACTTTCCAGTTATCACACAGATTTTAATGCCACTGTATATTTATAGATTTCATCAGCAGTTGGAGTCATGAATATTACGACTCCATAATATTCCTCTCTTCCACAAAATACAGTCCACTTTTGAAACACAAATCCTGCAGGGTTTATTTTTTGTCTTACCTGTATAACAGAAAGTGTTGGCTTAAATTTAGGGTGTTCTTGCTTCAGTAAATACAGGGCTTTTCTTGAGGTTTCAATGATTTCTCTTGAAATAATAATAATAAATGTATTAATGGGTAATATTTTTAACCATTATATATTGACTGGGCATAACATCACCATCCACAATAAGCCTCAAGTTGCATCATCAGACAACAAACTTCATAAACTAATAATCCGTAAGAGTTTTTGTTCATTTTTGTTTGCCCTTTGTAATTTTTTGGCGAGCGCTGTTTATCAGGCACCTTCTAGGTTAACTTTTAGTAAGTAAGAGAGAGGTGTTTAATTTGAAGAAAATATTTCAAAAAGAATTAACAAGATAAAGTACAAATCTGTAAAAATCTTCCCTATTTATTGTTGTCAGTTTCTATGCCATGTAGCCTTGATGCTCCATATTTTTTGATGTTGCCTGACAAGAAACCTTTGGTTTTTAAAAGTAGGCCTTTCCCAAATCATAACTGCCTTACAATGCAATGCAATGCAGTGCAATGCATACTATATCCAACGCGAGTCGTTTAAAGTTCAAAGAGATCCGTTTGCATACATCGTTGCAGATTTACAGCTGCAAACAAAGCCAAATCTACTAAACTGTCAGGCAAGAGGACTGTCCCTTCAAAACCGCAAGGCAAGTAAAACCCCACTCAGCAAGTATAGTGCAAATCAAATCAAATCTTTATTTATCAAAGACCAGCACAGAGTCTAAATTTTCTGAAAGGCCGAAGGAAAGTCAAGATGTGCTATTTCCCTTCGCCAGCTTTTCAAGAAAAGTCGTCAAAACCTATTGGACACAAGCGAAACTCGAGCGATAATTGCCACGGATTTTAAAAGGGAAAAAAAGGACAAGAAATGAAAGATGAGCAAACCCCTAGAAGATGGCAGCCACAACAACGCACACAACTAACAGCTGAATCGACAGCCGTCGGACGTGGCAAAGCGTTTCAACATCCCACTCAGTGCCGGTCCGCTAACATTCCACACTTTTACACAAGCCGGCGGGAGGGGGGAGGAGGGAGGGAGGGAAAGGTAGTCACGTGGTCCGGGAGAAGAAAAGAAAAAAAACCCGCGCCTTTCCCTTCCTTCAGACTGATTGGCTCCGAGAGCTGCCACTTCCTTCCTTCTCCACGACAATTCAGAGGCTTTATTGCATCAGACCAACAACGCGAAGGCGGGGCTTGGGAAATTCTCACACGTGCGGTGCCGGCCGGCCACTTTCTAGTTATGAAAGAACCAGCGGTGGGATTTGGCAGCTGGCGCCACCTTCTTTTTATTTATATTACATACATACATACATACATACATACATACATACATACATACATACATGACATACAGACACACACACACACACCGACATGCGGGGCAGCCGCCTACCTCAGCGCGGAGCTTTGAGCGCCTTCGCTGCCGGTGCCTTGTTGCTTCTCGCCGCAGTGCCGCGTGCTGCTGCTTATCCCTCGCTGGGGCGAGAGAGTCGCGGAGCAAGCGGCCGGCACGACGGGGCGCAGCCTTTTGCTAGGGAAGCCGCCGACGTTTTTCTTGGCGGGCCCGGCTGGTCTGCAGAGCAGGCGGCGTAAGGCGGAAAACCTCATTTTTGCTGGGAAGGAGACGGCCGACGAGTGCCCGGTGCTTCTCGGCGAGGAGGAGGAGGAGGAGCTGGACTCTGGGGAAGGACGCGCGCGGCGGGGCTTGGAAGGGAGGCGGAGTAGGGTGCTGGCCGCCGGACAGCGTTGGGTTGGCCCCAGCCGCTGCAGGAGGCGAGGCGGAGCCAAGCTCGGCTGAGGGAGTCGGTTGCACTTCCTTCCCGTATTGCGGGACGAGAAATAAAGGCCTCGCAGGTGACCCTCGAGGGCGCTGGCGAGGCTGCAGACTAGAACGGCGTTGTCCCAAAAATGTTTTTTTTTCCTTTCCTTTTTTCTTCAAGAGGCAATTGGAGTTTAAGGTTCTTCTTTGAAGACGTTTTGCTTCTCATCCAAGAAGCTTCTTCAGCTCTGACTGGATCACCAGGGAATAGAAGTGTTTGTTTGTTGGTTTGTTTATTTATTTATTTATTTATATTGCCGCCTATTCGCCCATGGTGACTCGAGGCGGCTTACACAATGTAAAACCATATCTAAAACAAAAAATTAAAATTAAAAAAAAAATACTTCTTGCAGAAAGCTGGTAATGAAAAAAAAAGTGCCTCCCAGAAAGTCCACTTGCCTCTTGAAAAAGCACCTTTGGGATATGACCCGGATGACTGAGAATCTCCATAGAAAATAGAACGGTGTTGGGCGCGCAGGATCCTATGTGTGGGACAGGACCCGTTGCGTTTTTGGATACTGAGCAGAGGACTTGTTTCCTCTGGGAAAAGTAAATGTCTCAAAATTTTCAGGTTGCAGATTTAGAGGTAAATCCTACTGAGTCTTTAAAGGCTGCAGTAATTTTAAAATGCCAATTAATTAAAAAAAATAAAGCTCTTGGTGTTGAACACCACTCCTGGTGTCGCTATGGCCATATTAGCATTTGAAACGGAAAGTATGAGTTCGAACATGGCATGGTTGGGAGATCAGAAAGCAGACCGAGAGAAAGCTAGACCAACTTATTATACTTTGTTAAGAAATAGATGAAGTTACCAGGAAAAAAAATAAACCCCAAGGGTTGGGGTTTTTTGTATCTACCCCTAAAGGAAAATAAGTTGAGCACAGGGTTGTTAACAGAAATTGCCAGTCCATTATGCACTAGAGGTAGTGCTTCGACTTACCACAGTTAGGACCAGAATTTTGATTAAGTGATGTCATTAAGTGAGTCATTTGCACAGCCCTGATTTTATGAACATTGCCAGTCATTAACTGAATCCAAGTGTTTAAGTGAATCACACAAGTGGATCAGGCTTCCCCAATTGACTTCTCATGGAAAACTGGCCAGAAAGGTGTCAAATCATAATCACTTGACTGCAAGTTGTTGCAACCTTGGTGCCAGTTGCCAAACCCCCAAATTGCAGTTGTGTCAGGGTGTTGTGATGGTTGTAACTTCAAGGACAGGTTATTGGTTAAGTCTTTTTGAATCCATTATAACTTAGATTTTTCAATAGTCCAGGACTACCTATAGAAGAGCCATGGTGGCGCACTGGTTAGATGCAGTACTGCAGGCTACTTCTGCTGACTGCTGGCTACCTGCGATTTGGCAGTTCAAATCTCACCAGGCTCAAGGTTTACTCAGCCTTCCATCCTTCCGAGGTCAGTAAAATGAGGACCCAGACTGTTGGGAGCAATAGGCTGACTCTCATAACCGCTTAGAGAGGGCTGTAAAGCACTGTGAAGTGATATATAAATCCAAGTGCTATTGCTATATGTTCTTGGCAAATTTAAGACGTTCTTTCAATTTCTCGATGAGAAGTCTTCCTTTTTAGATAATAGCTTCAATGGGGGTTTAGGAAATTGTATTTTATAATTGAATGTATACTAACTCCTGATAGCAGATTTTGTCCTACATTGGCTACAAACTACGGTACCATTTTAAAGTTTTCAACACAAGTCAGAATACAGGTAGTCCTCAATTTACGACCCCAATTGAGCCCAAAGTATATGTTGCTAAATGAGACATTTAAATGAATTTTGCCCTGTTTTATGACCTTTCTTGCCAGAGTTGTTAAGTGAATCACTGCAGGTGTTAAATTAGTAACACAGTTGTTAAGTGAATCTGGCTTCCCTATTGACTTTGCTTGCCAGAAGCTTGCAAAAGGTGTTCACATGACCCTGGGATACTGCAACTGTCATAAAAACGAGTCAGTTGCCAAGCGTCTGAATTTTGACCACGTGACTACGTGAAATGGTCATAAATGTAAAAAATGGTCATAAGTCACTTTTTCAGTGCCATTGTAACTTTGGCCACTAAACAAACTGTTAAGTCGAAGACTACTTTTATTTGAGGTAGAAAAGATCTGGGATGTTGGAAAATTTAAAGCAGTAGCTGATAGCCAGCAACAGGCAGTGATTGCTGTTGGCAAAAAAAAAGCTGCAAAATGTTTTTCCCAATGTGTTAAAGAATTTGGCAGCTGTCCTTTTTGTGTTTTGGATTTTGCTGTATTTGTAGCTGCTTGTAAGCTCTGGCAGCTGGCCAAAGACACTGATAGTAGGTTTGCTTTGTAGAATGTACCCCTGGCCTGTTATTTTAATTTTTCATAATTAGATTCCACCCCTGGTAGTCTAGACAGGCTTTTTTCCAAATTAGTTGTAGTGATTTGAATATGTCTTACGGGTACAGGAAACGTTATTTTGAGTGAAAATATTAATATTAATCTTGCCTAGGCTTTTCACCACTTTGACTAGCTTGCTGGGTATAGAAATCCCACATTCTTGCTATCGCTTGAATGCACTGATTCTGTATTTAAACTTTAGTGTTGTCTTCGCCAGGCTGTTCCATGGACAGACAAAGACAATAATTGCAGAACTAGATTGCTGAAGGTTTGGTACAGTAAAGCTTAAAAGATAGTTTCTTTAAAAAATAGAGCTTCTGCAACTATCTATTTCTGCGGAATTAAATAAAGTAGTTCATTAAAAAGTCTATTGAGGCAAGTAGTATTTATTTTTTTCTAAGCAGCATTTACTTACAGGTTTGACATGCTTTAAAGTCAGCTTTTAAGCATAACAAAGGAGAAAAAAGGACTCTTCTACATGTACATATATTTTTACATAGTCTTTACAAAATGAGTTATGTAAAAGTGCAACACAGAGGGTCTATTTCTTATCAATAGAAGTAAAACAGTAACACATTGTATGATATGTTGAAGGAAAGTTGGTGTAAATTCATACAGAATAAGCAACTTCATTTTCCATTTGTCTGGCAGTATAGTGCAGGTACTACCAATGAATACAGAATAGATTTTAAAAAAACATTTAGACTTTTTTTAACAAACAATATTACCTGGATAAAATAAGGCTCCACTAAAATCTCTTCAAAGTTTTGAAGGAGAGCTGTAAATTATTAAAGAAATTATATGCCCATATTTAGAATTGAACAACAAAGGATGTACAGTACATGTGATAACAAGCCCGTTACATATAATATTCTCTGGCCCCAATATTCTAATTTTAGCAACCATTTTTACATTCCCCATGTTTTTATTCTTCCCATGATAATTAATGAAGTAATGTGTCCACTTAGTGGTTTTGTAGGCCTATCTAGTCACCCAAAGGGTAACTTACATTCCTATGGATGAAATGGCACCTACTCGATTCTGTTTAAACACAAGGAGCAGGCTGAAAATCTGAATACAGTTAATCTTCTGAAACTGTAAAACTATTTAAAATATTTTCGGAAAAATGTGTGATCTTCTGAGTTATTCAACTAACCAAATGCAAACATAACATTCACACAAATGAACAACAGTTTTCTTTCTATTTTGGCTACTTGTATATATTTTATAAAGGAGGTTCCCCCCCCCCCTCAAAAAAAATTAAATACTTTCCTCTAATTTTGGGGTAGCGTCTGCAATCACAAACTATATAAAAAAGTCGGAGGTGGGGTTCCTCAGCATTTTTTCATCCAGACCAGAAAATCATCATTCCCTTTGCTTTTACAAAAACAATGACTTAAGTGATTGAATTCAATCCATATTGAATATCAGCTATTTTTATTCCCTGCCAGCAAGGTTAAAAAGTACACAAAATATACTGACGCTTGTCTCTTATATGACTAAATGTTACATATTTCACTATTTTTTCAGATTAACAAAAATCCTCCAGTATAATAAAGCAGACATGACTTTGTTACTGTATCTGGATTCCTATTACTATATTTATATTATTTTACACATTTTATTAAATAAATCCCTAAATTCATATGAACTTATTTTTCATCTCTACTAGACATACTTCGGTCTGCTGTCAGCTTTTCTATTGAAATCGGGGCAGCTTCCTGAAGTAAGAAAAATAAGAGAGAACTAGCATTCTAAGAAAAAACACCAGAATGACACATTTCAAAGTAATTCAGGGACCATATCTCTTTCAGTACTTATTGCATCAGAAGGGATTATGTACTTATTAATTTGATGGTGTTGCCAAATCACCAGGTCATTCTGACTGCTATTATGCTTTTTAGTGGAATGATGGCAAATCCTGCTCAGTAAAATGTACTGCAGTTGATACTTAAGATTACTGTCCATGTGAAATTTGATTGTATAGATCATGGATCTCCAACCTAGACAACTTTAAGCCTGGCGGACTTCAACTCCATTAATTCTTGGAGTTGAAGTCCACCAGGCTTAAAGTTGCCAAGGTTGGAGACCCCTGGTATAGATCATGTGTTCACTCCCCCCCCCCCCCAAGGTTTGCCACACCAAGCCGTTGTACAAAACGGGTATGTATAGCATAATGAGCAGGAAACAAAAACCTATTCCAACCTGAAGAAGCTATTTAGTTGGTTGGTCTAATTTTAAATTTGTCTCTAGACCCACTTGCATCATTGATGTTAAGACTGATAAGGGCATACATGTCCTCTGACTGGATGCCAGAGATTGGAACTTGTGCCCAGACTCCTTCAAATTGATGCCAAAGCTAGTATGAAGACTTTGCAGGTGGGTCCTAGGCTGCTGTTGATTTGTGGGTATCAAATTTGTGAGTTGGAAACATGATTGCTTGGACGTGGGATAGAAATAATGTATTTAGTGCATTGGGGAAAAAGGGATTTTCTAAACTAGAATTCCTGAAAAATGTTCTTGCTTGATCCCAAAGACCCATTTGGTCTGTACCATTTGCAGTTTTACTTAATTAGAACTGTGTGGAAACGTAACTAGTACATACATAGAACACAGTACATTTCAGTTGAGTCAAAGCAGTTCATTCTTCTGTGTTTAAGCAAATAAATTACGAATACATAAAAGTTTAACCACTAAAGATCTCCCACTGTTCTTGTTTCTCTTTCTATGAAATTCTTGTGTACGTGGACAGCTCTGATAGATACTACATACAAGATATTGTTCCTATAATGATAATTACAAATATATAGGTGTGTGGGTGTGTGTGTATATATATATATATACACACACCAATCTGACTTACAAGAACTGGTGGTCATACTGTATCACATTAAGGCTGAACAATAGAATCGGGGGAAAGGCAATATTAAACAAAACTACTTGAACTGAGACACTGAAATTTTTCCCTAAGGGATTGGACAATATTGGGCTGATTACTAGATGGCACACTCCATAAGTAATCGTTCAATTTGTCCGAATCGCCGCATGTTGTCAAGAAAGAATCTGATAGCTTAGAAGGATCCAGCAATTTGCCACTGTGAGTTTCTGAAGGAGTAGAGTGCGGATGCGCTTTGGGATACAAGTCCTTTGTTTGGTTACAGAAAGTCTCTATGTCGGATCCCTCATCTTCAGATTTAATTTCAACATAGTCGTCGTCATCTCCTTCTCCGTTGTCATTATCTTTGAAATTACTAAAATAATTGTGGGTTGCTATGTGTGCATTTGAAGGCAGGTTCCTTTTAACTCTCAGAATTTTCTGAGAATCTTGTAGAATAACATCGGAGACATTTTCTGAGGTCTGCTTTGTCCCATCGGATATCAGATGGCCAGGGGTGGCAACAGATACTGATTCTTGACAGTGATCAGTCAGAATTTTTTTGTTGGAATGCAAATGCTTTTTCCTCATTTCAGGTGGATAATTTATCAATTCTTCAGACTTGTTAAGCACAATGGAGCAAGAGGAGTGAGATCTGCTATATTCCTGTGGCTTTGTACTGCTCTCTGTCCTCCCTAAAGAATGATAAAGGTGGCTGTGATACAAGTTCTCTTTATTGGGCTGATTTATAATAGCACTCCACCTTTGTGCAGGAATGTGTGGACAAAGAGGAGTCTGAAAGGAAGGCACTGAGCAGGTTACAGGTCTCACATTTGGCGGTGGCGCCATTTCTATAAGGGAGCTTTTTGTCTTCAGGTGAGGAGTTTCTGGCCAAGGAGAAAAATCAGAGAGTTCTCCATTACTATATGTTGAGTGCAAAAGCCAATTTTCAGCTTTTAAACATTCTGCAGCTAAGTGAGATGAGGACACAGGTGAAGAATATCTTATGTTTGTTTCTTGAGAAGTAATCTTCTGTGTTTTGGGTGAAGTTTCCCGGAATACAATTTGATCATATAGTTGAGAATATTCAGCAATTCTTGCACCTAAAAACAAAGGGAAGTTTTAACTAACCTTGACAAACAACACCAGTACAAGTTAACATTTCCTAATAAATAAGGACTTGACTTTTAGTCAAGTGTCACAGATTTTAATATGGCATTACTGCAAAACAAATATAGATGAACTTAGACACAGATCTTTTTCTCCCATTTCCTATGCTTTCTCCATCTTCTCAAAAAGGATGTATCTAGAGCAAATGGGGGTACATGAAGTACATGCAACCAGAAGCCAAAATAAAATCCATCTGTATAACATATGTATCCCTTAATTTTATTTTTGATTGCCTTCAAGTCAATGTTTACTTCTGGCAACTGCTTGAACTAGTCCATTAAGTTTCCTTGGCAAGGTTTCCTTTTTTAAAGTGATTTGTCATTGCCTACTTTCTAGGGCTGAGAGTGACTGATCAAGGCCACTCAGCAGGCTTCATGCCGAATGTGGGACTAGAATTTATGGTTCCCAGTTTCTAGACTGATGCTTTTAACCACTAAACCAAACTGGCTGTAACATCTATGAAGACATAGTGTGCCCACTGTAGGGAGGATGGAACAATCATGGAGTTAACCTGGAGTCACTCTGCCTAATTGCAAAAGAGCTAAGGCTAAAGGTAAAGGTTCCCCTTGCACATATGTGCTAGTCATTTCCGGCTCTAGGGGGTGGTGCTCATCTCCGTTACAAAGCCGAAGAGTCAGCGCTGTCTGAAGACGTCTCCGTGGTCATGTGGCCAGTATGACTAAACGCCAAAAGCGCACGGAACGCTGTTACCTTCCTACTAAAGGTGGTCTCTATTTTTGTACTTGCATTTTTACATGTTTTCAAACTGCTAGGTTGGCAGAAGCTGGGACAAGTAACGGGAGTTCACTCCGTTACGCAGCGCTAGGGATTCGAACTGCCAAACTGCTGACCTTTCTAATTGACAAGCTCAGCATCTTAGCCACTGAGCCACCAAGTCCCTTCTAAGGGCTAAGGCTAACCTGCCCCAAATTCCCTGAAGCTTTATCCAATTGTTCCCAAGAGTAGGCTGCCAGACTGGGGAGGTTCCTGTATTATAGACAGAACATAATTAGTTAGCTTGTGCATGTGTGGGTCCAATTGTTCATGCCTGACAACTACTGCTACACAATTTCTTCTATCATTTCTTCTACATACTTATTCCTGTAACTACATCCAATCAATTTTCTGTCTCCTGATGCTAAAATAAAGTAATATGATGGTATCTAGGAAATTCACCTTTTTGCAGTGATCCCAGCCCAGTGAAGCACCCTCTCTTGTGATCTGGCAGGCCCCCACCCCACAAGGCCTCTGGAAGGCCCTGAAGAACTGGCTCTTCCCACAAACATTAGTATAGGGAGTGGCTGGAGCCCAGCAACTCTGAATGTCAATGAAGGGGAAAGAATCTGGTTTTGGGTACCGTGAGGTTTTATGGAATTTTTGATGTGTTTTTTAAAAATATTTTTTGCTCCTGTTCTGTTTATTTGTGAGCCAACCAGAATTATTATATATAAGATGGGAAGCCACATTAAGTCCAATCAATCAGTCAATATTTTTCAAGCCATTTCTGTGTATCTGTTCTCAAAACATGATTGCGCTCTCTTCATTTGCACAATGAAAACCCACTACTCTTTCATGACACTATAGCTGGCCCTCTTAACATTCCCCACACCCAATATAAAAAAAAAATATTTTCCACAATAAAATGTCTGGAGAAGTCAATAAAACTAAGTATTATTGGTATATTTCTCACTTCAAGAAATATGGTGAAAATACAACATTGGCATTTTTATTTTTGTCCCCTAACCTTTTTTTAATTAAAATGAAGTTACGCAACTGTTTAGAATTTATGGTAGGCAAGTTCTTAAATGCACTGAGAAACTCACTACTTTTCTGATTTAAATTAGACATGTGGCTTAATTTAAAAGCCAATTAGTTAAGCCAGTACTATAAAATTTAAATCAGAATAACAGAGTTGGAAGGGACCTTGGAGGTCTTCTAGTCCAACCCCCTGCTCAGGCAGGAAGCCCTATACCATTTCAGAAAATGGTTGTCCAAACTCTTCTAAGAACCTTCAGTGTTGGAGCATTCACAACTTCTGGAGGCAAGTTGTTCCGCTGATTAATTGTTCTAACTGTCAGGAAATTTCTCCTTAGTTTTAGGTTGCTTCTCCCCTTGATTAGTTTCCACCCATTGCTTCTTGTCCTGCCCTCAGGTGCTTTGGAAAATAAGTTGACCCTCTTTTCGTGGCAGCCCCTGAAATATTGAAACACTATCATGTCCCCCATACTCCATCTTTTCATTAAACTAGACATACCCAATTCCAGCAACTGTTTTATATATATATTTAGCCTCCATTCCCATAATAATTGTTGCTCTTCTCTGCACTCTTTCTAGAGTCCCAACATCTTTTTTACATTGTGGCAACCCAAACTGGATGCAGTATTCCAAATGTAGTCTTACCAAAGCATTATAAAGTGGTATTAACACACCACGTCCTAGGCTGCATTAACAATAGATCTTACTCATAATGAATAGAAATGCTAGCATAAGTATATTAATTGGAATTTTTCAGTCAATTCAAAAAAATATTGACCAATGAATGGATGGGTAAAGTATACTCATAAATCACTGTGTTCAAGTATTCAACAGATCAGTTTAGAAAATGAGGGAAAATATAAGCATACCAATGGCAGGTCCACCTTGTTTCTTCTCTTCTAAAATGGCTGCTAAGTCCTTGTGCTTGGATTTCTGTTGCCGACTCAGAAATTGCTCTTGCTCTGCACTTTTTACTTTCAAAAACTGATTTGCTTTCTTGATTTTTTGACTGTATTGTCTTGCCATCATAAAAACACGATTCTTTGTTTTATCCACAGAATCCAGTTCACCATTACTATTTATTGTATTTACTGTGCAAAATATATTATTGGGAGATTCATAAAGGCTATCAGCAAAACCTCTGTCATTTGAGAGGGAAGATCTGTTGAGATCTATTAGTGAATTTGCTTTATATGATGCTGCCTCTTCAAACTTAATGTTGGCTTCACTTAACCTGGCTACCTTGTTTGGCAAAGTTTTTGACAAAGCACTTTTTTCCGGTAGTGGGAGCATAGTCAGTGAATATTTTATATCTTTATTTGGCCCAGTTGTTGTTCTGCTAGATACTTGATCATCAACCTCATCTTCGCAGACAGGAAAAGCCGCAAGGACGTGATCTCGTGCCTTTTCTTCATTTTTCTTGATATAATTCTCCAGGTCATTCCAGATTTCATCTACTTCCTCTGATAATTTATCTGCAACAGACTTGTGAGAGTGTGAATCAGAATTTGAGGAACTCTCCGCCAAACTTAAGCAGCCACGATCTAATGGTACATAGTGATAGGGATTTTCATCTTCACTGAACTGGAGGCTTTCTTCAGAAACAAATTGTCGGAGCTGGTTACAGCATGCAAAATCTGTTTCCATACCCAGAAAACTTCTCTTTTTGGAACATTTAAGGTGATCGCTTTTGAAATTTGACACTGATTCTTCTGGAAGGCCTATGGTATCATAGATATTCTCCTCACTAATCCTTAACTCATATGACCTTACAGGTGAACCCTCTCTCCTGTGAACGGCTTCATTTCTGCTAGGAATACAAGTCCTGTTTTGAGATGCTTGAGTTTTTTTGAAAGAATAGTCTTGGTCATATGTCTCATAGAGTGAATCTTTAGCTGACCCTTGTGGTGCACGGATGGACTCTTCCCTCTGAACCAGCCCCATTAACTTCAAATCTTCGAAACTTATATTGTCATAGACATGATCTATATCATCTATAGTCAATTCTTCTGAAGATTCCTGACATTCTTGAAGATTGTCCATGTCGCTTCTGGAGTTTTTAATTTCATTCCAAGAGGCACTTTGATCATGGTAATTCTTTCTATATCTTGCTCCAGTTTTACTTTCACCAGCGCTGCTGGCCCGCCTCATAATTCTATGAGAATTCAGGTTGGAAATATCATTTTGATGAACTAGTCCCACATGCCAGCTGCAAGGGCGGTTTGATGGGATCCTTTCTTCACACGCAATGGAAGTTAAATTGGATGTGGAGTCTGATGGCATGAACATTTGGTAATCATCATCATCATCATCTATATTGTCTTGCAGAGGACGTCTACTTGGGAACAATGCTTGCCGAATCTGATGGTCTGTCCAGATATTTCTCACTGCAGCTGTTCTCCCCAAAATATTTGCCACAAATGAGTTGTTTTGGGGAGTAAATTGTTCAGATAACTGACGATCCCCATTGCAGGAAAATGAAAGCTTTGTGTTCATCTGGGAAGGAGCTTCCTCTGTACATTTTTGGGAGTTCTGTGAAGTTTTCAAATACAGAAAATTATTATTATCTGTGTTTTAATCACATCAATGCTAATCATGAACTTAGTTCTAAAGTTTCTGGTTCTTGTGTAACCAAAATGACACTTTCTTAAATTGCATAGGAAGGAGGCACTGGTAGTTCTGCTGTTCTAAGGTTTAAGAGGTATACTCCTGTTAATTCTGTTATGAAAACCAGGACTAAATAAAATGCAAGGAACCAGGATACTGAAGAGTTCTTGCTTGCATGGAAACCTGTATGTATGTCTGTACACATAAAACGGTATTTTTCTTTTGAGACCCAAAATTTGGAATGTTGATGATATGTCCAAAGAATTGGAAGAGAATCTTATAATGCTACTTCACCCTGACTCATATTTTGAGGTAAGCTTGTTTTAATAATCATTAAGTAGAACCTATTGGCTATCAACATTTTTCCTTTCCAGAGATAAGTCATAGATAAGGTGATTACATAATATAGATAATGGGATACACAGATAGTATTTAATGATCCATATAACCTCTTGTTTTTATTGATTATTGTGTTTCAGCCTCTGATTTTTCCCCTTTTTTGGCTTCATTTGCATCTCTTAACACATGAAAAAAAAACCTGTTTTCCATGATATTTTTAAAGGAAATTATTGGAATTTGAATGGTTTCATGTTCATGTCCATTGCTTAATATCATTACAGACATGGCTTAGCACTCTCTTGGATATTATTTCAACTTGCTGTTTATTCTAAGCTATATCTCTGATGTTCTCTGGTAAACTCTCATCCAAATATTAAACAGTTAATCCAATCATATTTACTCTGGTTGTTTTAGCTCAACCAGGTTTGGTTAGGTGCTGCCCTGATGATTTCACAACTTTTTCAATCACCTGAATTTCACATATGTTGAGATTAAAAGTTCTTCGTTTCTCAAAAATTTCAGTAACTTGACTATTCAATCTTTTGCGGCCTCCCTTTGGTTTTTGCTGTAAATGTTGAGTGCTCTGTGGAAATGGGTGAATATTAAACTATATGTCTAATTTCAGCCAATGTAAAGCCTAGCAGTTTTCTGAGTTCAACAAGTAGATGCTATATTTCAACTGATACCATGGAAAACTCTCTTTGTATGATTCTTCTATCTACACTATGATGGTCTCATGGAATAAATTCAAACAAGATTTCTTTGGAACTGTTATCATTATATTAAAATGTTGGTAACACAAATATATGCAAACAGTTAAATTCATGAATGTTTATAGGATGAATGGGGATCAATAAGGACAAAAAATTACATCTTCAACTGCACCTCTCTTTTTTATACCTGATGTTTCTCAGTCTTTTCCCCTGATTCTGTCTTCCTTTTTGTATTATTTTTTTTATTCTTTCATGTGACCACTCTCTCAGCACATTACCAAATTTCTTTCTGTTAGCTCAGTATTATAACTATTGAGGATTGGAAGGAAATTCTTTTTAAGAGAAGTCCTCCCTCTTGCTAATCTCCACCACGAACTAACCTTTGGCAGAGGACAGAATACAACAGTGGTTGAAGATCTCAGAAATTCCTACTGTATTCCCCCCCCCAGTGGTTAGGATGCAGACGTGAAAATGTTAACCCCTTTTAATTGATTTGGTTTGCTGAAAGCTAAAGCAAGGATACCCCATTTTTTATTCAGCTTAGTATAGTTAATGGAGCCATTCTACATATGATATTGAACATTAATGGATGAATGTGTTCTCTCTCCCTTTCATGAAATAAGGAGCTTACTTGTTCATTCTCTTCTTCATCATCAGCATCCGTCTGATCTGTTACATCTGTGAGGATATTATTCTGCTGACCACTGCTATAGGCTGCTTCATTTGAATCCAGCCGTTGGCAATTCAGTGAATGATTCTTCCTGGGATTGAGGAACAACTCAGCCTGAGATAGCAGGGCTCCTTCAGTACTCATCCGCTAGGGGGAGGGAGGAGGAAAAAAATAAAGATTTTAAGTATTCCATATTCTGTACTATGCAGTTCACCTTTTATACAGCCTAGCAGAGTATCCAGAGCAGCCCACAATACTCTTCAACTTTGTGTTACTTTGCTATTAAAAAGCATGCTCTTTTTTAAATGGTTTTTTTCTTGTCTTTGTTTTTCAAATGATTTTTTAAAAGAACAACTCAATGATTCTGTCTGTTGTGGTTCTTGTTCTTCATATTTGCCCCTGACTGGGTTGGCCTTTGAAATCCTCCAATTCTGCTTTAAAATATGTCTTGTATATTGTGTGCTTTGCAGGGCATGCTGTACACTTTTTTAAAAAAATAATTTTCATATATTCTGATGCATAGCTTTTATATTAGCTTGGAAGATTTGCATTATAACTCCTCTTGACCCCTCTGCTGTTTTTGCATACTGTAATTCAGAGGTCTCCAAACTTGGCAACTTTAAGACTTGTGGACTTCAACTCCCAGAATTCCTCAGCCAGCATAGCTGTAATTCTTTTTGTTTTAACATTTGATTGTTTGCCCCTGTTCTGGCCTCCTCTCCTCCCCCTTTTTTTGCAGCATGAGTTATTTAAAATATATACATTAAAATATTGTTTCCAAATGTACTTCTAAACAGATCTTACAAAGTATAAGGCTACCAGATAGAAATTTTTAATTGAAGAGCATAGACAGATGATAGACAGACAGACAGAGGTAATCCTTGACTTACAACAGTTCATTTAGTGACTGTTCAAAATTACAATGGCACTGAAAAAAGTGACATGACTATTTTTCACACGGCCATTGCAGCATTCCCCATGGTCACATAATCAAAATTCAAACGCTTGGCAACTGACTCAGTTTAGGATGGCTGCAGTGTCCTGGGGTCATGTGATCACCTTTTGCTACCCACTGACAAAGTCAACTGGGAAATCAGATTTACTTAACAACCATGTTGCTAATTTAACAACTGCAGACATTCTCTTAACAACTGAGGTAAGAAAGATTGAAAATGGGACAAAATTCACTTAACAAATGTCTCATTTAGCAACAGAAATTTTGGGTTCAGTTGTAGTTGTAAGTTGAGGACTACTGTAAATAGATGATAGATATGCTTTCAATGTCACGGGTTATATTCAGTATCTGTTTCTTTAAAAAAAACTGCCAGTTCCTTGAATAAACAATATAGTTTACCTTTTGCAAATTTGGGTCCATTTCTGAAATGATTGGAAAAACAAACGTAAGTATCATCTGATGACTTGCATTTATACTAACTTTAGTATACCGTTTTATCCAAGGAGAATCAAAAGATATTTAAGAATGCTTAAAGTTATGTCTTGGTGTAAGATGGGAAAGGTATTTTAGAAAATATTTTTTTATCTGTGGAAAAACTACTCAGCTGCTTACTTAATTGGATAGAATTTATTCACTGCAGAAAAAAGTGCTTCAGAAACAACTAATAGGTGGCACAGTAGTGACTTTAATGCCCAATAGAATTAAAAGGGTTAAGATAAGATGTAAATAAAGAAAACAAACAGTGAGAAATCATCCTCTTAATAAGGCATGCACATCTCTCTGCTTTCTTGTTTTCCTTTGGAGGAGGAAATAACACAATTCAGGGCTATGCAGTACGGGAACACCAATGCAAAACCATCCTGCAACTCTTTAAAGCAGCCCCATTTTTTAAAATAGCAGTATGATCCAGTTAAAGCAACAACAACAGAAGTTTATAATTACAGCAGAATGCAGTCTCATATGGCAGGCTGAAGCAGTGTACATGATGTTTTCAGTCCACATGGATAAATCTACCATAGATGGGTGTCTTTCGTTCAGTCACATTTGTAAGGATTAGTGAGTGGATGCCATGTATGGCACCACTTTAGCCATTTAATGCTTATTATTGGATATGAATGCTATCACTATGAACAATTGGAGCTAAATATAACTTAGTCATACTCTGCTCACCATTTTTGTATAGAAATGTTTTTCTGCTCATTTGAGAAGTTGATATTCTTCACAATTTTGCATTATTTGTGATACACATCTTTATTAAGACTTGATGTTACTTCCAGTATAAATGCATTTTGTACAGTTAATTACATGGATAATTACAGTGAAATGTGCCATGCTTAAATATATATTGTAACTAAAGTATATCTTTGTATTTCGATATTATGTAACTTACCACTTGATTTTGTGATTTTATGAACTCTGGAAGAAGGTTCTGTGTGGAAAACAACATGTATTTATGAATATCTTTATTTTTTTAAACGTTGTAAAAACATGTATTAATATTTAATTTTATATGCCTCTTATACCCAGCTACATTCAGCTTTTATCACTACCAAGCTGAAATTACAAAGGTTCCTGGGAATGGAATTCCTAGCCATATCTTGATATATGGCTGCTGAAACCAAACTACCTCAACGGATTTACTATATACAGTCACTTTACCTGAAAAATCAGAGAACCTATTTCAGGAAGAAATCCCTGCACAAAGGAGGGAATCTTTATGGTTAGAAATGTAAAGGAGTTATTAAACAATGGGCTCCTTTAGTTAGATAAAGAATTAAACATATATTTCAATGTCATTCAACTGCACAACAGAGAAACTTACATGCTTTCAAAATGTGAGCTTTATTAGCGCAAGATTGACAAACAGTGTTAATGATAACTTGGTTTTACTCCTTGATCTTTAAAGGTAAGGTCATAGGATAGAGAACATCTGGCCTATAGACATTCTATGTTCCTACCTAGAACATCAAAGACCTTCTAGTATCTCAGACAAAACACCTGCAAATGCTGTTCCATCTCAGCTGCATCCCAAGAGGGAAGTTGCTAAGTGACTAAGGTAGCAGTAGCCAAAACCAAGTCTGCAGACATTCTGGGGTTAATATCTATAGTGGGAACAGCACTTCAGGCACCTCATGGTTTGTTGGAGAGACTGACCAAGCCAGGGGGAGGAGTTAAGTAGAAAATTAGTCTGGAATCTTTACATAGGCACCAGAAGGCAAGATCCAACCCACTTTGGTTGTCATTGAACCTTATCTAGTCTGGCCCAAACCACTAGTCTGGGAAAATTCCTCCGAAACAGGAACAAGTAATAAAATAACTAATTGATATCTTTGTGTATGAATCTGGTTCTTTGGGCCCAACATGGCTCTTCTAAAAAGACGGTACAAGGCAGCTGAGGCTAGACAGAGCAGTTACTACATGGATACCAATAGAGGTGGGTTTGAAGCAGCTGAAGTTGTATGTGGAAAAGGTGGCTTGTTTTATTCAGTATAGTGTTTGTGTAGGGCAAGGAGTCATTTATTTCAGTCTATCTCATCTCCATTTCTTCCACCAGGAAAAGCAACAATTTTGGGAGACTTGTAAATCCAACCAGAAATGATGAATGTATCATATTTCATATTTATAAAGATGAGTATGTCACAAAGGTATCTGTTATATACTTTATATGTCTACACATAAAAATATCACAGATGTAGATTATTTAACAAAATGAATGCAGTGCAGTGCAATCTCATGTGTCTTCATTAACAAACCCCACTAAGTATAATGGCAAGCTACTGCTAAAATGTGAAGTTTAAAGTTTTCTTTTTACTATAATATGACCAGCATGTATATATGAATTCTTTAAAGTTCATTCCTATTGTGGGTCTTGTTGCAACTTTCATATTGTTTTTATTTAAGTTTTAAATCCGTATTTTATTCATATGTAATTTGATACTGTTTCATCTTAATTCTATTCTAGTTGTAAACATAAGCACACCTAAGGCAAAATTTATTACCTGATTTCCTTCTTATCCTTTGTGGAGTCATGCCCTCTTTTGAGTTACTTGAAGCTTTCATTTCTTCTGGGCTGTAATGGAACCCTGGGTGATCTATTAAAAAAAAGATTCCCTGATTTTGAAATTAATGCTTTATGTATAAGGTTCAGCCACAACTACACTTCTGAATGATCTGCCACAATGAAGTACAATCAGGAAATAGGATTCATGCTGAGATTTATATAGGTACATGCAACTAAAGGTAGAGATCACAATACATCAAAATAGGATTCATTTGTCCCAAGAAAATTTTCTTTCTTATAATAATAATAATTATCCAGAAATGACCCAATCATTTTAGGGAAATTTCACAGCTCTTGGTAAAGTAGACATCCTGAAGGCATTCAGATGATTGGCAGGTTATAGTAAAAAAATGGACTGAACATTAAAACAGTATCACATAATATTTTTGATCATCTGACATGCTACTGGATGCAACAAGCCACATCTTGGCACAACTCTTTCTATACACACACACACACACACAAACCCCCAGTGTTATACAACAAAGTGGTAATACAAGAATACAGAAGAAATATTATTTAAAAGGGTCTTCAGTAAATTTAATCCCACTCACATATACAGGGAAAAATAAAATATACAGGTTAAGCATAGCTGTAATCTCTCCATATTTCTCAGGAAGCACAATGTCTCTGAACTATATTCCTTGCAAGGAAATTCCTGCATGATAAAAGCTCCCCATAGGTCCAGACACAGACAGATAACACACACCCATCTACACAGAAGCTTTTATAAGAGGAAGTTAAAAAGAAAGTATCTTAACAGGCTTTTAAAATGGTTCTTCTAACTGAAGTTCATATAAAATATCCTCACATAATAACATTGTAACACTTATACTGCAGATTAGAGTTTTATTATGCTGCATAGGCAGTAAACAATTTGATCTGCAGGCCTACATCACAAACAGGACTCCTACAAAAGTCACATTGTCTGGAAACAGTGAGTCAGTTATCATTTGTGAGTTTGCATAAAAGCAACATTTTAAGGGAGACATAATGAGTCAACAGACCTTTTTACCCAGCCCCCCAGAAACCTAATGACAGCTAGCATCAACTACTGTATGTTGATTTAATATCTTAATATCTCAATATTTATTTCCTTTAGGAATAGCAATGCAGTTTAATTATTTAAACAAGGTATACTTACAAATTGCATCCATTTCAAGAATTGCTTGCTTGGCCTGAAAAAGAAACATTGGATATTAATTATTTGATTTATACCATACTTTCCCTGCTCTTGCAGGCTTTCAAGGCTGCTAACAAAAGTTGAAATTGTGGTAGAAATATTGAATTGAATTGAATCAAAATCAATTAGCAAAAACTGAATTATCTCAGAATTATCATCACAGGATTGGAAAAGGATTGTGAAGATCCAGTTTAAATCCCTACCCAGCTATGACACTTAAAGTAATGTGATATCTTTAAGATTAATTAGATCGCATTGAATTTTGACCTAGGAGGAAAAGCAGAATATAATCAAATAAATTTCTGACTCTCTGATAAGCCATAGATTAATCTTGACAAATATGTACGTCCCAACATAGTGTTCAACAAACTAATATGTAGTTTAGAGTGATACTTTTAGACACGTGTGACATAATCCCTTCTTGCCCCTTCCCCCCACCCCAAACACTTCATTCATGACTATTTCCCTATCAGTCAGTCTTATTGCTGATTTTATAATAAAAACATATAAAGAATGACCTAGACATTGCTGTCAAAGATCAGCAGATTAAAAAGAATGAAGAATTTCTCTCTTACCCGATGTTTTTCCTGCAACTGCTTCTTCATGCATGAATGTATATAAACATTCTTAACTAGGATCAGGACTGGAAATCTCATATTTATGTTACCATGCTATCTGAACAAATTTTCTCCATTAACATTATTCTTAATCCTATCACAGGATTTACTATAGTTGATTGATAAATGGAGTCATATAAACTAAACCCAAACAAAGGAACCTGCACATCAAACCCAAACATAGGAACCTGCATCCTCTGTGTGTGTGTGTATTTAAAAAAAATACATGATAGGAAAAAATGCATTCTACATTGTTTTTACATAGCAAGATTGTATACAAGGATATCTGCAAGATTAAAGGAGTACTTTACCTATTGTCCACTAGGTGTAGCTAGTGTACAACCTCAGATGTAAAGACTAACCTATCACTATAGTAACTTACAGATACAGATTCATAAAAACCTTTCATTATTTTGTCTACAAATGTTATCTCACTCAAAAATTATACGCTAACATTTGGTTTATGAAAATGATGGCATGTACCAGGTATGGGTGATCCTCTAAATACTGTAAAACTAAAAGTCATCTCAAAACCAACAAACTTGTGTATAGTCAGAAATGATGGAAGCTATAGTCTAGTTAGTATTATCTGGAAAAGCTGAACAATTTATTTTTATTTATTAAATTTATATTTAATTTTAAATTTGACATATTAATAAGTAAAACACATTTTTAAAATATACAGTTTCTCACACCATAGTTGCTTTCCACATATACCATTGCTGTCATTTAGCCAAGTCTTACAGTCATACAGCATACACACAATTATAGCTCATTATGAATTCATTTTTCTAATATATAAATGTTTTGGCATCATTCTTAATTTCATCTCTATTGTTTCACAGCTGTGGTAGCGCAGTGGTTGCAATGCAGTACTGCAGGACTAACTCGCTGCTCACTCCAGGAGTTCGATTCTGAGCAGTTCGAGGTTGCCTTCTATCCTTCCAAGGTCAGTAAAATGAGGGTCCAGGTTGTGGGCAATATGCTGATTCTGTAAACTGCTTAGAGAAGGCTATAAAGCACTGTGAAGTGGTATATAAGTCTAAGTGCTATTGCTATTCAGTGCTTCCTCACTGTGTCCTAGAAAATGCCATTTGTCAGAGAACAAATGTGACAGGCAGGGTCTGTGTCAATATATTTGAGGTGCACAAATAAACATTCTGCATTAATTCAATGCTGACTCCTCTAATGAAATTCAAATTCACAGCCTGTGCCAGCAGCTATCTAATACTATCATTCCTTCTGAAAAGAAGTTGAGGATGAGAATAACATTTGGAATGTTTAAGATACATTGTGATAGGCTGCATCAAATCTGTATGAAAAACACCTGCAAAAAAGTAGATGCCCCTTTTTTAAACAAGCAGAAGGGATATGGAAAAGTTGTATTTATATCCAAGGTTGTTTAATCAATATGTGGATCAATTCAACAAATGGAAAAATGATTTTCAGGGGGGCGGAAATGGAATCAGATCCTAGTTCAGTTAAGAATGTATCAACTTATCCTTTTCTCCCATCCTTAAAAAAGGATTAATTTAAAAATGTAATAATGAAGATAGGGTTACTCCAAAAAAAGTGCTTACTTTACAGATAAATCTCTATATATATCAATTACATACACATATACACACGTACGTGTGTGTGTGTGTCTAATTGATAAGAAATAGAAACACATCCTTTTCCTCCCCAGGTTTTGGACAACTCACTCATTTCAGATTTTGGTGTGTGCAATGTAGAATTTATACTTAAATCACTTTAAATCACTCTTTCATTTCCTGGAATAGATCCTTCCAAGACCTGTTCACCTTCCACTTGGCATAGTAAAAACTTATTTTTCTTGTTTGTTACCAAGAAGCATTGTTCCATTACAGAAAAGCAAGATAAAAATACTAAAAAATAATAATAATTTGACATGGAAAAGTTTCCAAGGATTGCTTGATGTACATATTGACAAACTAAAGACCCTAGACTAACTATTACAGGCCTAGAGACAGAACTCCTGAGTGAAACTGCTGGTATATTCTTATGTCTCAGTATTGCTTGGCTGAAATAGCAGCAGTGAAGTAAACAGAAATCAAAGCAGTGGTGGAATTCAAAATATTTTACTACCGGTTCTGTGGGCGTGGCTTGATGGCTGTGGCAGGGGAAGGATACTGTAAAATCCCCATTCCCTCCCCACCCCACTAACCTGCCTTCCAGATCCGTTTTCCTGTGCAGAGTAACAAAAGAAGACCCAGCCGATCAGCTGGGACTCGGAAGGCAGAGAATAGATGGGGGCGGGACCAGTCAGAGGTGGTATTCCGAACTATTCAAAATTTCTGCTACCGGTTCTCTGAACTACTCAAAATTTCCACTACCGGTTCTCCAGAACGGTTCAGAACCCGCTGATTACCACCTCTGAGTCAAAGCCAAAGGAAAGATAGGAAAATAAAATTGGTGAAAAACAGAGATGATCTTCCTTTTCTGAAGATAGAAAGCTTCCCATGAAAGCTTTGGGTAGTTTTGTAGGAAAATACTACCACTGGTTCAGTACAGCACAATTCAAACTGTGCAGTACATTTAGTGAGTGAAAAACAGTCTGCATTACTTCCAGAATTGCAAGAATAGATTGGAAATGAAAGGATGGCCCTTGGAAGACTACTACTGGCATGCAGAACAGTAGAAAATATAGACACCTCTAAATATCACAGGGAAACACTCCCAATTGAAACAGAGAAGAGACCATATATGTTAGTACAAAATACTGAGCTAAATGAATTAATACTTCATTTTTATTCTTTCCATCTCAATAGATCATTGGAAAGAAATTATGTTAAGAAGGTATGGAGACTGGTCCCATCTGTCTGTCAGTAGAACATGGGATCAAGTCTGGGGTGGCAGGCAAAGCCAGAGAGTTTGAAAATGGCCCAGGTTAGACTTCAAGAAAAAAAAATCCAGAAAAAATTCCCCAATGCAATGGTGGAGGGGGAGAGAGACTTAGGCAGATGTTCAAAAAAGTAGCCAAGTGCTTCTTTCTAAGTCATCCTCCCTCCCAGTCACATAACACAGAGCAAAATACAGGTAGACCACCTGTTTTCCCTCGTACATTCAAATACACATCAATGTAACACAGATCCACTATCCCTCCTTCACTCTTTCAGATGTCTGCTATGATAGCAAGTGGTAAAGAGGTTGGAAAGAATTCCGGAAATCATGCTCTCCATGCTTTCCCTGTCTTGTTCTCTGTAAACATTTTAGTAACATATTTTTTTCTCATCATAAATTAGGCAGAAGATCGATTATCATAATAAAATAATGGAATGATAGTTTGAAAGGCAAACTGAAGTGGCCTGGTCCAAAGGAATGTTAAACTGATGCTATGAAATCCCGTACTATATGTAATGACATGGCTGCACAGATGTTTCTTCAAGAGAAAAGTTAAAATGCATGCTTTTTTAAAACAAAACGATAAAAAGGTTTTTACCTTAGCTGGAATTTTAGCAGGATGGTTTTCTAGAATTAATCTTTTCAAATGAAGAATCCAAAGGCGCTTATCTTGCTGTGATTTTGCCTATTTCAAAAGGATAAGGCAGTTTAAAAAATTATAGCTCTTGAAATACCAGAAAGAAAGAAAATCAGTAAAAGTTATCGGAATGTGGAGAAAATCTGACTTCAAGTTGAAAAACTGGCTCTTTTTCCAAAAATGATTAGAATTTTCTTGTTCATCAAAACTAAAGCACAGTGTACAAACCACAAAGTTACACACAGATCTCCACCTATCGCAGACAATTTTAGGCACAACTCTAGCTTGAAAATACATCCATATTTTTCTATTTCTGATAAAAGTGGATTCAACTAAGTGGTAGCCTGTAACCAATCAGTGCTGATGTCAGAAAGTTGTACAGGATTGCCTCTAACTAGTAAATTGAATGAGAGCTCACGGAACAATCTCAGGACTGCAAACTAGACAGGGAAATTTAAAATACATGCAGAAAGAAGGCAATGACAAACCATCTTTCCACATTATTGCAGGGAAATTTTATTTTTACCTTGCCTTTTAGTATAAAACCCAAACTTTATACATTAAAGTAGAATCACTATGCTATATTTCTCTCCAAAAGAAAGGGAAAAAAAGAAAAAAAATCTAGATAATAAGGAACAGGAATTATCTGCAAGTATAAAAATAAAATTAAACCTATGCATTTAATTACAGCGCTGCTTCATGGGATATGTGATTATGAGAAATTCAGATTTAATACTATATTTAATTAATATTGCATTAGTTATTAATATATTCAATCTATGGTTATCTTAAATACCTGAACAGTATGCTGCATCTTGGGATTTTTATAATGGAAGACGCTGAAACTAAGAGGTTCTTTCGGTATGACTTCTACCAGCATAAGATTTCCACACTATAACAAAAATAAAAACCATCAGTTCCAAGAGATACAGAAGGAAAAATCTGACAGACTCTTTTTTCAAAAAAAAAAATGTTAATTATATTGTGGAATGTTTAGAAATGTACCAAGTTGGCCGAGTGGGGAAAAAAGAGGCCAGGAAAAGGTAAGAAACAAACCATTAAAAGCAAAGAAAACTGATAAGCAGGGCAACTGTGGAGGGTTTTGATAACAGCTACTTGTTCAGAGTTATCCTGAGAAAGGTTAAAAAAAAATGAAGCAATAAAGGAAAAGCAAAAAATTAAAAGGATGAAGTCAGAAACAGGAAAAGGAGGAAAGGAAGCAGTAAATGGTTTTTAAAAGCTGAAAACTAAACAATGGATCCCATTCTTCATCAAACTCTATCCTTATACATATGCCAGAATGATTTTTTTTTAAAGGTCAATTATTTTTATTTATTGTTGTGTTTAAATTGTTTCTACATTTACATTATAGGGAACTTTTATTTTTCCGTCTCTGCTGAAAACTTACAGAAGAGAGGAGTGGGGGGGAAAAAAAACAACCCAGAAGCTCTATTAAAGAAACAATAAGGGTTAGCGAAATATCCCACTTCTGCTCCCTTGTAAGATACACACCCATTACTTAACCTTCACCCAAAGTGCAACCTGCCATACCAAGATATGAGCTTTGTAAGTAAACGTCTCCTCTCTCTTCTTTGTAATAAGCAGCAGCTTATCAAAGAGAAACAACGTGCGCTCGTTTTTGGCTCTCTGGATACGGAAGGTTCCTTCTAGCACCAGCTCTCCATAGCTCGCAAGGTCTGGGCCTTTCCAGTTCGTAAGTAAGCTTTGTATTTCCTGAAAGAGAGGGGAGGATTCAGCGCACTAAAAACAGACTGTGCTAGAATACCTTAGCATGGAAAACAAGTGGAATAGCCCCCATCAGTGTTCGCTTCCACAGGGTTGGAAAAACACCTGTTTCTTTTAGAGAATATGGCTAACGATCTCATATTACACCAGATGATTTTTGATTAGATAAAAGCCAATCACATTTATTTCTAAATGTCATAATGCTAAAAAATGAGTTATGTAGTTTGCAGTCAGTCGAATCCCAGTTCAGTGGTGGAGCAAAGCGAAGCCAAATACTATTAAAAATAAAACTATTATTCTTTTGATACTTTCCTCAACACTTTAGAAAAATGGAAAGATGTTGTAGCCCAATAGAAATAATTACCACTATGATGAAACCAATCAAAATTGCACAGCTGAAGGTTCCTACCAAATGTTGGTAGAAAAGATTAGAAGGGCCATTAAAAAAAGAGACTAAGGATTATTTATGCCCACAGGCTAATTCGCTTCTTGCATCTATTCAAAGTTCAGCCTCAGTTTTAAAAGCTTGGCTGGTTTTGGTTGATCCACATTAAAAAATCAAACTCATGTTACAGTGATGCAGATCTGAGCTTTTGCCGAAAGCCAGGCATATTCATGAGTTGAACAAATTTATGCATGAGATACAGCAAAAGAACAAAATGCACTTGAAACAAGTTTCAAATAGTAAGATAATTATTTTCTAATCTAAACTATTACAGTTGCTTCTGATTTAATCCTTGTTCAACAATAGTTCAGTGGTAGTTAAGACCAGTTCGCAAAGTTCTGGCTGGCAAACCGCTCTCCCATAGTCACATGATCATAATTCTAACCTTCCCTGTGGGCTTTCCACAAGCAAAGTCAATGGGGAAACTGGCAGAAAATCAGAAGTTGCATCTATGTGAAGTCCTCTTTTAATAACCTGCACAATCCTTGCTGGACTGCTGGAACTGCCACCACTAAGTGGCACAATCACATGTTGTCCTTAATGACTGTATTGCTTACTGACAAAAGTTCTGGTCCCTATTACTGTCATTAACTGAGGACCACTTGCACAAGATCCCCAAAGTAGTGCACAAAATAGGAATAATTAAACATTGGGCTCAAAGAGATATTTTCTACAGTCTTGTTGAAGCAAACATTTCTATACAACTCTCATTCTGGCTTTGAAGAAGCTTGTATGAATAAATCAAATTCATGTTAAATATTACTTTGGAATTGGTTAAGCAAGTGGGCATTTTGATGTTCGAAATACTGAAAACAACCTTTTCAATGTGTCAAACATTTGTCCAAAGCGTATGAACAAAATCCGAACAAAAGACAGAACATAATTGATCAAGGGAGCATTTTGACTCACCTGTAATCTAATGGCATGTTCATGCTTCCTCTTCATATCATTGATATGCCATGCCACTCTCTGCATTGTATCTATGGCATCTAACACAACATCATAACCTTCAGTGTCCTTGTCAAGATGGTTTTCTATCTCCTGTTAAGAATCAATTGAAGAGTGTGTTGTTTATAACTCTTAAACATCTGAAAACAAGATCTAACTGAGAAGTACAATTAATTATCTGGCTGCAGCCTGTTTTTGTGGATTTTCAAGTTCAGATATATCAAAAAGTCATATTTCAACTCTAACAGTGCATAATATACAAGAAAGATTCTTCAGCTCCACTTCCTGACTAGAAATCATCTGAAGTGTATAACCCTTTTCTCTCAAGCCTTTCTTCCTCTCCATGCTTCTCTAGATTTGATATTCTTTAAATGGGATTGTATGGTTTTATACTGGAGGTATAAATAAAAAGTGGAGCTGCTGAAATGAAAGTGTTCTTAATATATCAGGAAGAAAGATAATATTGTAGCATATGAAAGATAGGAATGGTTGTTTTATACCCCTTTGTAATCCTAAACAATTGTATCAAAACATTTTTGGCCAAGCTGGATTTTATAGGAAATGTGAAATTAAATTTCATATTTAGTGTGTCTGTGTTTGTTGTGTTCAAATGGTAAAAGTCACAATATATTGGGACCTGAGAGTTAATCGTTTCTTCCAACTTTCTGGTCCTATTGCCTGTTTTCCACCAAAGTCAAAACAGAATCTTGAGTACTCAGAAATCAAGTAACAAGCAATTGCTATTTTGTCACATGTAAATTTAATCTCTTATCATTCACCCCATTTAGAATGAACATTGGGATCTGCTGAGGGAACTGACAGCTATGACACTACTGCAAATACTTAATTACAGTTGTTAGATAAGAAGTAGCTTAGTTGGCTGGGAAAGTATTATAATTATCTGTTGGGTAGGCTCAAAAAGTACTTAAACACATTAATGTTTCCTTTGATATCAGTGACCTTAGCGAGACACAACAAGCATGCCAGCTTATGTAAAGTATGTGCAACCTGTGACTCGCCAAGCTGAACACAGATCAATAGGCTATATTTTGTGAGAAAATGTCCTTGTTATGCAATCCTTGGAGGGAAGCATCAACAAGGAGGTTTATTTTGCCTTCAGTTAACTGCTCTTCACAGATAATAGATTGTGTTTTAATTTGTAAATCCTTTAATAATGTACAGACATGCCTTAGAGTAGCCAGGCACATATTTTCAGGTCAAGGGCACCAATTGGCACTTAAATGGTTGAGCCAAAGGTATGCTGCAGAAAAGAGGGGAAACCTAAACAAAATATCATTTGTTTTTAATTTAATTAAATGAAAAGCAGGGGACTATATCCTTAGTCCTTTTTACTTTATTTATCTCAATCTCTCTTGAGTTAAAAGTAGCAGTCTGGAAACAGTATTATGAGGAAATGCATACGGCTTTGGGGCTACAGTTATCACTTCTTCACTCAGTGGCATTACACTGACAGCTGCCTGGATTGTATTTATGGACATTCAAAATGAATCAGTCATTTAATATTTGGATGCAACTTTAGTTGGATAATTACATTGATAATTAAGCATAGCAGATATTGGAAACATATATACCCTCTCCAAATTTACATGTCCAGGCTTTGAATTATACTTAATTTCTTAATAGGAAGCATATGATAAAAGAATTAAAAATAAGCCCAGATTTTTGAAAAACGTTTAAATGGTAAACTGTCTTATAAGTCCGTCTTATAACTTTTTTGCCACCAAAAAAGGCACCAGGTCTTATTTTCGGGAGTTGTCATCCACTGACTAACCTCACTTGCCCGCATCTCTGTCAAAGGCCTTCAGCAACTATTTTCTCTGCGGCCGGCAAGGCTTTCCTGAAGGACTCTGCAGCCAAAAACAGAGCTCCGGATCAATCCGGAGCTTTGTTAACAGCTACAGAGGCCTTCAGAAAAGCCTTGCCAGCTTTGCCAGCTGAAGAAGAAATGGGCCGGCAAGGCAAGTGTCAGGGTGTGCGAGGCCTGGCTACAACTGTCCAAAGGTAAGTAGTAGGGCAGCTCCACTCCCCCAACCCCACCCTAGCTTAATTTTTATCCGTGCATTCTGGAGTGGGCGGGATCTTAGTTAGGGCTTATTTTGGAGTAGGGCTTATATTGGACACACATGTAAAAATTAAGCTATGACTTACTTTACAGGTAGATCATGTTTTCGGGGAAACAGGGTATGCCAAAAAGATTGTTCTTTGAATGCATATTCACATGCTTTAAAGCAGAGAAATACACATTTTTAGCCTATATGTTAGCATTTACAATAACTTTTGAACCAGAATCTTCCAAGCTACTGAAAAGAAACAGGATGGAATACTATGTAAGCAACTAAAATAATGGTGATGTACTCAAAATATTTGTTTACTCTTTTACTTCAGGAGTTCTCAGATGTTATGTGGAACTCTTTGTACAAGGCTTACAAGACTGTAAACACACCAGTCACTCAGCATGAGCTGAGGTTACAAACATTGTGAGTAAAAGACGCAGACCGCACTGGGACTTTCAGAAAACTCAGGCAACAGGGGGTAAAAGTGGAAGTGAGCAGTACAAATTCAGCACGTTATAGATCACGGTTTTTTTTCCTGTGTGAAACAAAAGTGGCCAATAAAGAGACAGTTCTTTAAAAGTATAAATGTATAACTTAGCCTTTATAGGTTCAGTAGAGTGTAGACAAAGGTTCATCGACAAAGCGTTTTACTTACATGCAAAAGTAAATGATATTTCAATATTCTCTGAACAGGCTTTAAAAGATAGGATCCCAAAGGAAGAGAATGCTGTAAAGCTTCTTGTCTTTCTCTGAAAAACTTGGCTAGGGACTTGTTCCTCATGCATTCGGTGAGTACAGCCACTGACCTGTAAAGCATACAAACACAGCTTACAGAATATTGTTAACCTATTAATTATGCATAAAACCACCAATTCAATGGATATGTTTGCTTGTTTGCTATTCAGTCTGACAGTTCAGCAATTTATAAGCTAGATGGATTTGGGACTGTCTACATATCTGAACAGGGGTTTTCCTCCCCTTTTTTATTAGAAGAACTATTAGATTCTGCCACATCGTTTCTGTATCATCTCAGGGAAAATCATCACCCCATTCCAATGCTTTTATCTTTTGGGGAAAATAGGGCAGAAACCTTTTTAAAAAAAGTCTGTAAAAGCAAATCAATACAAGAATCTCACTTTTTTCCTCCTTTTTATTTGCCTCTCACAAACACTGTCTATCATGTTCTGTACAGAAGCTAAATTAATACTTGTTGAAGGACAAGGAAATTAAGAAGACATTTTAAAGATGGAAACTCCCATACAATTATAAGATATTGACCTAAGAAGCCACCATAGTTGAACCAAACAATATCTAACAGAAATGCTACTTTAAAGATTCCCCCATCTACCACAATACATTCTCATCATTCATCATTAGTTATTTGTTTACTTACTTACTTTGTTTACTTACTTCCTAGAGCCGGAAACGACTAGCACGTATGTGCAAGGGGAACTTTTACCTTTACCTTTACTTACATATCCACTCATTAAATTTATATAACCAACCATTTCATATACATGACTCTGGGTGGCTTACAGAGTGAACATAACAAAAAATTAAAACAATTAACCATTAACTAGATATCATAAAACACAGGTGAGTCCCAAGCAACAGCTTATAAACAATTATGTCAAAACTTAAGAAATAACCCCACAAATATTTCATTATTACTTTAATAAGTATAGCAGCCTTAATTTCTTGTACTCAAAATAATGGCTTAGCATATTTGTATGTTCAGACATCATTGTGAAAAGGAACATCCATCTTCTCCACAATTTCCTCCCCCCCCCCCCAATACTTTCCATAAATTTTACGAATTAAATTCTGATTAAGTGATCATTTCAAATTTTAGGCAACATAAAAATATAATAGTCATTTGTTTTCTTCAGGACTTTGAATTCCAAGGTAAAAAAGTACATTCATGGGTCCATAAATGTTTTGCCTCTCTGCCTCTCCTTACATCAAGGGTGTCTTTTCTAAGGATTCTGCAGCAACTATAGAAGGAAAAGCATGAAAGCACATAAATACCTAGACCCCTGCACCTGTTTGCCTTCAGTTCCAAAGAGCTCTATAGCCCTTTTGAAAATATACAATGGGAACACAGAGTGACAGATATACCCACAGAGACACACACAATTGCTCCTACCTTGGATAATTGGTACAATACTGTGTATATATGTGGAAATCTTCACTCTGTACATAAACAAATGGAAAGGTTTATTTAGAACCTGGAAACATCTATTTTGGTCCACAGAAAAATAAGATAACATGACTTAACTAGATTTAACTTGAACTAGCCAGAAATCAATTATCAACTAGCACAGAAGGCAGTACATTTGACATACTAAAATGATATTGGCCAGTCCCAAAGATTAAGTATGTTTTCAAAGCCAAGCCAATCCGTCCCAAAACGAGTGACTGAAGGCTTTCCACCCATCCATTTATCCCCAAGAGTTAAAAAGGCAGATGAGAAATGACTTTCAGCTAAAAATAAACATCCCACCAATCTAACCTATTAGATTATTTAAAAAAAAACCAGTAAGGTACCATTGATCCCCATAAGGATCATATAATTTATCTTTTATAAAGCATGTTTTACACCCTTGCAATTTAAAAAAAACCCTTGGGAAAGGAAAACCACATATAATTTTATTTAACTTTGAGATAACAAATTACATTAACTTAAAAATTTATGAAATAATTTATATACAATATATAGATGGTCAAAAGCATTATTCCTGCACAGATTATCTTAAACCAATTCCCCAAAAATCTTAGGTTAATTAACACTAGCACATCTAAATATCTTCTTTTAGTACAACCATTGTATGTGCTCCGTAGCCAGTGTGCATTAACTGAGAGATTGCAATGTTCATGATGACAACTGAGACAGAAATTGCATTCATGGCTGCAACTGGAAAAGGTGCTACCAAGTGCTATTGGCCTCATCAGCTTTATGTGTGGTTGTACATGTGTTTAATGGTCTAAACTACTTTAAATTGTGTACACTGTTCAAAACTGATTGGGGAACAGCAGCCAAACAGAAGGATAAACATTCATGGAGCATTTGCAACAATATTTGAGTGTATATAGTATATCTATCTTCTTTTGCATAGTTTTTCACAGTTAATAAAAACATTCTATTCAGCTTAAAAAAACTGTCTTAATCAGTGACCATCCCACCTAATAATTTAAAAAAATTCCACACAGCCACTACTGATATTTTATCTTTGGGTTTAAACTTCAAATTCATATAGCTGCCCTCATTGGCATGAGACATAATAAGCTTACATCACAGCCTACATATATGCTTTGGACTAACAACTACTGTAGAAATCTACTGCCTGCAATTAAGTAGTAATCATGTTAGCCATAATTTGCAACAGAGATATTACACTCTGTTATTAGCTGGTTAGAATCATTCCTGTTATTGTATATATTAAGTTGGGGATTCTTCAGTGTCATCCAAATGAAATGTTTATTGCTGAAGTCACGCCCAATCTGTACATAAGTAAACATTTATGAGGAAAAGGTAGAAAATATTTAATTCACCATATAATCACACTAAACATTCACAAACACTGGCTGTGAATTGTCTTTTTAAAAAATATTTTAAAAAATATTATGCCCTCTCCTCTTTTTCATCACATTAAAAAAAAAATTCTTATAGTTTACCAAACTGGAAAGAGATTTTAAAAAATTAAGAAAAGATCTCAACTAGTCTGATAGACATAAATAAAAATGCATCAATGATATTATCAATCAATCAATATTATACAGCCACATTTCTACTCCTATAACACATTTCCTGCAATTAGCATATCGGCTAATTACATCCTTTAATCTGTATCAGAAGGAGAAGATTTGGGGATCATACAAAAGAAGGAAAGATGAATCTGTTCCCTGATTTTAAAATGTTGTGGGTTTTTTTAAAAGGATTTTAAGCTATCAGTTCTTTTGTAAAACGTTTGGGCTGCAAACTGTTTTCAACTGCTGCAATGATTCCATTACTAATACTTGGCATTTCTGTATGAACCACTGTTAAAATTAAAAAATGGAAAGTGACTCTGTCCAGAAGTATCCATAAACAAGAACCTTTGGCCTTGCTGCCCAACATTTGATGACCTCTGGCACTGGCTGTGTGAGACTTTTGTTCACTATGTTGTCAGTATTCCTTTTCCATGTGATCATCAAATATCAAATATAACATCATATCCAATGGTGCCAGGATCTGCACCATTGCCAAGGATGGGTGTATCAGAATAAAGCATTTACTGCAAGCAGGCAGTGCTAATAGGAGGAGGTAGCAGTAAAGTGTTGGGAAACAAATGAGTAGACCATATAGCCAGGCTTCTGGCATCCGTACCAGTGTTAAGATTCAGTTATCAAGTCAATTTGAGTTCAAAACCTCACAAAATGAGAGAGAAAATCATCTTCGTATTTGACGCAAACGAAGTAAAATATTAGTGTGCTGCCCTTCTTTAAATCACATCTTCACTGTGTAATTGTACGGACGCAAGCCAAACAACTTAGCAATAATATTTCGTTGCACAAACTTAACCTAATGAGCTGTACTTTGACTATCATCACCATTGTAATGTAGTGATATTTCTATATTGACAGCCCTTGCCTTGCAAATTATAAAAGGAAGGAGGCTATAAGTCAGGGCAAGTTCAGATTACTAAACAAAGTTGTCAACCTTTGAATTAAAAGATATTTATGGTTTCATTAAAACCTCTAGTTTTACTTTCATATATTCCTGAATACAGTACCTAAAAGGGCTTCTTTGATGTTCAGGGTGAACTGAGTAATATGGACAGTGGCCAACAGACTACCATAAATCTGCAGCCCTCAATTCATGCAAGCCTTAGCAAAATGCAGTACTTAAAACAAGAGAGCTTCTAACTACAAATCCACATACATTTCTTTTTTTGATATAAATATGTCTGGCCAAAGAGAAACTACTGTGTGAAGCTTAAAAACTCCCTTTGTCAAGAGAAGAAAGAGGAGAGGATGACTAGCCAAATTGCCTACACTTGCCTGCTTTCAACTTTTCCCCTCTGGAAGGACAAAGCTGCCCTCTTATTTCTAAACATAAACATATCAAAGACTGTGAACCAATTTTAAGCAAGAGTCAAAGATTTTCCATCACAAAATCCAGACTGCAGCTTCTATAATGCACAGGGCCACTGACTTCAACGCCTCAGTCAGTCTTAACAGACTAGGAGAGAAAGAAGAAAGGAAAAACCAATTGTAGAATAAGAGAGGGGGGGGGAGATAAACCAAAGTCAGCATGAACTGTATTCAAACTACTAGAAAACCAATATAGGTTTTTTTTCTGAAATGCAATACATGTGGTCCTCAACTTACAACCATTTGTTTAGTGACCATTTGAGATTACAACGGCACTGAAAAAAATTGACTCAGGACTGTTTTTCATACAATCATTGCAGCATCCACCATGGTCATGTGATCAAAATGTGGGCACTTGGCAACTGGCATGCTTTTATGAGAGTAGCACTGTTCCAGTCACATGATCACCATTTGTAACCTTCCCAGCTGTTTTTTTGACAAGCAATGTGGAAAGCCAGATTTTCTTAATAACTGCACGATTCAATTAACAACTGTAGCCATTTGCTTAACAATGGCAGCAAAAAAGGTTGTAAAATGGGGCACAGCTCATTAAATACTTGTCTTGCTTAGCAGCTGAAATTTTGATGTCATACATCAAGGACTATCTGTAATACATTTCGTATTTGACACTTATAGCAGAAATCTATACTGAACTAAAAATTCATCCCTGCAATTCTTTGACGTTTAGTAACATTCATTATTATATTTGCAAAATACTAGGAAGAGATCTAGTAAGGTAAGGAAAAGAAACAGCAAACTTGGGGTGAATAGGAACTAGTATTGATTTTAAGCTGTTTGATGTCCTCCCCATTTCATTTTTAATCTTTTATATAATGTCTATGTATGCAGTAACATTAATCCAGAATAACTTTTTAAGAATAAAAAATGGAGTTGCCAAACAAAATTAGTCACTAAGCTTTGCAGAGATGATGCTTAAATAAATATAGCAATCTATCTTATATCAGTCTACAAAAGAAAAAAGGTAACTAGTGAGAAAAATATTTAAGATATTCAAATATCTAAAAGAAAGAAAAAATATAAAGTTTTAGCAAAAAGAGATGAACCAGTTATTTCTATCAAATATGCACATATTTTCAAATCAAATAATTCAAAAAAGAGATGTGTTCTATTAAACTCTCATCCATTCTAATAGATTTGTGAGAACCAATTCATATAAGACTATAGCCAAAGCAAAATTAAATAATGACTTAATTGGACTATTGCATATTGCTTCACCAATTCAGGAACATTTAGTGGAAGGGTAACATAAGCTACATCCACAAAGTAATTTGTAAAAAAGTTTTGCATCCTATGACTTATTTGTTATAGGCATTTGGGAACTGATGGAGTGATCTATTTATAAATTCTGAGAATGCAAAATACTAAAGATCTTATTAATATCAACAGATAGTATTATCACCTACCTTAGAAACAAAACATTCCGCTATAGCTACAGGATCATTTTCACAGTTTTCCAAATCTTGCAGAAGTTCACTAGTTGAAAAAAAAAAGGGTTAGTAATTATTGTCATCATATGCCAATATATACTGCCTATGGTTAAAATTGGCACTGCATTTAAGATTCTATTAAAATAAAACAACACCATTCATTCTATTTCCTACTATAATGCTAAGAAGTAATTAGAGCAGGGGTGCCAAACTTGTGGCCCGTGGCCAGATGCGTCACATACTGGCCATGCCCACTCCCAGTTTAGCAAAGGGGGAAAAAGTTGTAATACGTCACGTGACAATATGTCATGTCGTCACGAGTTTGACACCCCTGAATTAGAGGTTTCTTATCATTTTTTCTTTTTATAATTCCATTAATGATGTGAATAAATGTCTGTTTGGCTTGCTTGCATCACTGTTTCCCTATTTCTGCTGCTATCTTTATCAGGATAAAAAAAAAAAAGCAACTACTGGCTCTCTTTTACAATGATTGTAAGAACCGGTACAAGTACAACACGTATGCATTATTGCAATGCTGCCTCTTCCCACAAGGCCAATATAGAGTTTTCTGTATCTCTTTAGCATTTAAGGATTTTTCTCTGCTTAATGCTAGGAAAGGGAAAATGAAATGATACACATCTTCATGCAGCACATATAAAACTGTTTTATAATAAATAGGCTGCATATGGGTCTTTTTGCTTACTAGCTCTGAACGGTTTTCAAGTGGATTCACATGTGTTAAGCCTTGGTTTGTTTGAACACAACTTGTTAAATATACTACAATAGGCTGCATTTGAATAAACAAGCTAAGCCATAAACAAGAAATAGGATATTTGTATCATGCTAAGGGAAACCAAACCAAAAACATTATAGGTTAACTCAATATATGAACCTACTTTTTATTCATCCACATAATATTGTTCAGGGATGTACAGAAGCCACTCAAACCAGGCAAAAGACAATTATACCAATTTACCAACTGTGTTTCTTTTAAACAACATTTGGTATGTTGAATTTGGCTACACTGAACACATTTCATCTCACAAGCACCAGTACACTTTTTGTTGTCCATGCTGCAATACTGTATGTTCAGATTGCAATTTCCTTTGAAAATACAGTACTTTTGTTTTAACTTAGGAAAGTGGAAAATTAAACTGAAATAATAAATTTGCAGATGGTTTTGCGGCTCTGAATATAGTTAGGATGCTACAAGACTCATGAATAGTTTCAGGGTCATCACTATCTGTGAGTAAACTGCCAATCACAATTTGATCTGATGTATGTTGGAAGCTCAAAGATAATGTGGCTCTCACTATTCATTTAGCATGTCCAGGCTTGCTTCTTCCAAGCTCAGCTATTCATGCCATGCATCAGTTAACCTTTGTCTCCAGCATCTGGATTGCTGTTCTGCATTTGTGCAAAATATGTATGTATGTTATAATGAGGGTACCAAAGTAATCTGAGCTGGCAACTGGAAATAAAGAAACAATGGGTGGGGGACTTTTTAATTTACTGTCATCCTCCCAATTATTTTCCAACATATGAAGATATATGTAAGAAATGTGATTCTGAGAAGCTGATATTTGATTGTTATGGCATACTGACTATGAAACATATATGAATGACAGGTAGGAAATGGGACGATATATTTATCTTGCATGTTGATACACAACTGTTTTCATGATATGGCAGGATTGAGGTAAAGAAAGACTGCTTAAGAGAATTCCATGATCACCAGTGGTACGTTTCAAATATTTTTATCACCAGTTCGGTGGGCATGGCTTGGGGGATGCACTTTGTGCACACGCACACACTTTGTGCATGCATGTGTGCAGGGGTGGGATTCAAATTTTTAAGAACCGGTTCTGTGGGCGTGGTTTAGGTGGTGGGGGTGGCTTGGTGGTCATGTGACTGGGTGGACGTGGCTTGGTGGTAATGTGACTGGCTGGGCATGGCCAACTCAATATCACTCACATCGAGGCACGCATCTCCTTGCCTGGCCTCTCATGACTGTGGGGATGCTGCAAGTGTGAAAAATGGTCATAAGTCACTTTTTTCAGTGCCATTGTATCTTTGAATGGTCCCTCCACACAAGCAAAGTACCAGAAAAAGAGGGGAAAACTCCAGAGAAGTTCCTGAGACAGGAAGTCTAGTTCTGCCAAGAATGTACGAAGGGTTAACTGAGAGTCAGTTTCTGTAAGCAACACCAGAATGTTTCCTTCCTGCTTTCCTTACAGGATTAGGCCAGTAATTTCTAAAAACTGGTTCTCCGAACTGCTTAGAGTGTTAACAACCGGTTCTCGCGAATAGGTGTGAACCGGTAGAATCCCACCCCTGCATGTGCGCCAAACACGCATTTTGCACAGGTGCAGGGCTTGCTGTTTCACCTCCTGCAATCTTGCACTCTCCCTGTCACTTCAGCAGCTGCCGCACAGCAATCTGCTGTGCCGCGCAAAGCAGCTATGCTTCAAAAGCAGGGAATAAAGGTTAGTATGGGAGCCCGGGCGGGTGGGTGGGCCCAACAGCAGAACATCGGAGAGAACCGGTTCGGTCTCCGCTGCTCATCGGCTCTATCAGCTTGGCAGAACCAGTAGAATACCACCACTGATGATCACACATTTTCAGACACAACTGCTTTCAATAGTATTAGTTCATGTAGTCTTTGTTGTGATTTTGCTTTTGGGCCAAGATTTGCAAAACTCTGGGGAAAAAGGAATATGTTATAACCTAGAAAAAATTGGGCAAAAAAAACCAATAGGTTTTTATAGAGTTCAGTAAGAAAAAAAATCATGGTAACTCTAGGTGTGTCTGGCATGGTTTACTAGATATGGATTAGAACATTATTAAGAACTAGTTATGTTTATCATAATGAAAATAAAGAACTTTGTTCTGGTTACATCTACTGGTTGATTGCTGATTGGGCATAATTCTAAAGGGCTTTACCAGGATGAGTGAGGTCTTGTTGAAAATGAGAATGGATTACACAGAAGATTGACCAAGAAGCCAAAATTGCAAGAAAGTTAAAAAAGAATTCTTACGCTACTTATTGTATACTATTTTCCTATGCAAAGAAATTTTTTATTGGGGATATCTTGATTGATGTTGCATAATAGATTCACAAGGGTTCTCTTACTGTAGTTAATTCTACTTCTACCTTTAATTATGCATGCTCAATTTAATCCCCATGCTTGGTGAGCAGTTCTCCAAGGTCTTTACATTCGCCCAATTATGACACAGTTGCACAATATGATGTAACTATGATGTAACTAACTATGAAGAAGCAATTGCTAATATTAGTTCTTATGACACATCAAGATTCATGACCGAAGTCAGCCAAATTCACTGTGGCAGAATGAATGAAAAAAAAAAATCTTCCATTTTCCAGGCAGCATATTAGCTACACAAATAAATTGGAAAATAGCTAACATTCCAGTTTTGATTTTAAAAAAGCTACTCCTCCCAAAAGTGGAAATAGGAAATGAAGCAGTATATAAAATAGGTCTCACAGATTTCCATTGAAAAGCATACCTGTGCAAGAAGTTTGAGCTATGACTTATTATGACAAGTGGTTCATGAAATAATTCAAGTGGTAAATAAATATTTAATTTTAAATTAAATATTTTGGATGAGTTTTATAAGCCTTTACAAATGGGAGGGTGATGAAAAGCAAACACAATGAAGCTAATACAGCTACCTAATTTGCTTTAAGAAGTTTCATTCTCTATATAAAATATGTTGAGATATTGTTGAAAACGGTTTCCCTGAGGTGACATACAGATTAAAATATAATAAAGTTATAGACAATTTTAATATTCTGGCAACAGATAAAAAGTGCCTTTAGCAGCAAATTAAAGTATGTTCTTTATTTTAAACTTAACAGCAAAAATGTGTGGGACTCCCTATCTCCCACCATTTTTGTCCATCCCACTTGCTCTCACAGAATGACCAGGCAACAGGTCCATTCCCTGAAGCTATATATTTGATGAGACCTAGGAGCTGTGGCAATGCCTGCCCTTAGGAATCATTTCTGCCTACCTGCCTATTGCTATCCTTCAGAAGTTCAGATGACTCTGACTCTTGGCTAGCTAAAAGGATTTAAAATCCAGTTTTTAGATCTACAAAAGTAAAAATAAGGACACATCTTAGTGAGTTCATATTATATGAATTATAGAACTGATGAGGTAGGATCTGATCATCTAGCACCATGATGGCGAACCTATGGCATGCGTGCCAGAGGTGGCACACAGAGCCCTCTCTCTGGGCACTCAAGCCATTGCCCCAACTCAGCTCTGCCGTGCATGTGCACCTCCCTCCGGCCAGCTGGTCTTTGGGTCTCTGCCGTGCATGCAGGGGGTGGGGGGCGGGGCGCACACAGGGGGCAGTGCACGCATGGGTGGGGGTGACGGTGCATGCGTGGCACATGCACATTGCATTTTGGGGATGCATGTGCACTTTGGACACTTGGTGACAAAAAGGTTAGCCATCACTGATCTAGCACAACTTTTGTTCCCTCCCAAAGTTTTCAAGAATTTCAACATATGTTATTTTATATGACAGGAGAAGGAATCATTTAAATACATGGAAAGGATCAGTATAAATGAAATTCATTTTAATTTTAACTCAATTTAAATTAAATGTTTGCTTTGTTACAGCCACTTACAGGTTCTGCTCCCATTTTCAGTCTGGGATAGTCTGAAAATGATTGTATACATACAACTGAAACCCTTATATTGCCTTCAATCATGCCAAGAAGTTGTATATGTTTGCTTTAGTGCCTCCAAATCCAAATCAGCTGAAATATCAAAGTCATTATCAAAGGTACTCAAAGGCAAAATATGTCCCACAATCCAGTCCAGATGTGAACAAGGACGCATATCCTTGATGCCAGGTGTATGTTTCCTTCACAGGGATGTGGCTGATTTACTAAGAGACAAACTCTCCGGCTGCCATTGTGCTTTTCTAGACAAGCAAATCCCCAGACTTCAAATTTGAGTTTAGAAGGATGTTTTCAGCTTCAATGAAAGCAAAACATTTTTTTATTATAAATTGAGAGAACCTCTCTGAAACAGGCCCATCTTGTAGCGTAAATAAGTAACAGCATAGAAGAAACTGGACCTACAAAATACCCAAGTCCTTCCCGGTGTTATGCACAAATCCTCTAGAAGCATTGCCTTTGATGTTTTTGTGGCAAGGCCGGATTCAGAAAAGGAGCAGATATGTTCCTAAACATTCACTGGCATGTTGCTCACTTTATTCCAATTTCTGGCCATGCATAGGTCAGTCTCATAATTTAACTAAGCACTTTCAATCACAAACAATATGAAGGAAGGTCACAGGGAGACATGCTACAGCTCTGGGAATATCTTTTATTACCCTTTTATACCCTCACTCTGAAGATTATAATACTGTTATCTGTTTCAAGTATTGCCCTCCCCCAATTTTCTTTATTTGTTTTGTTCAAACTTCATCCTTTAATCTTTCAGGAAGGAGGGGAAAAAACAGGAAAAGCTTTAATGTGTCATTTCTACATATGCTCTCACTTTAATATTTACTTACCTATTGAAATGATAGATATCTTTTATGTTTCCAAACAAAGCCGATCGCTCCTCTGTACCCAAAGACAGCTTGGATTGGTCAGTGATACAATCAAGGTAATCCTATGAAATAAATGAAAGGGGTGCCTTAATGTTGCCTGCGCTTTTCTTCCCCAGAAAATGAAACTACCTTTAACTGTGTAAAATGAGTCTCTGCCAGATCAATTTCACTCTATATTACTGTAATCCCTTCAGTGAGTCCATCCCGAACAGGCCTTCTATTATAGGAGATAACAATACTTTATCTGTTCACCAATACGAAAGAAATGCTCTCAAAGACTGAACATACTGTGCTGCTCAGACTATACCTTGTATGTTTTTCAAGCTGCAAATGTATTCAGATTTCACCCCTAGTGACAGCTTAATCATCTCCATTAATTACCCAATAAAATCAATGACATCTTCCTATAGTAAGCCTCCTCCTCACTCCCTTAGTATTATTAACATACCTGGGTTTCACACAACTTGAGCAGATTTCTGTGGGGAAATGTAATTATTTCAGAGCTACTGAAATAAATGTTTTTAACATTTCAAAAATGCAACATAAATATCATCATTGTCAGCTTGTAAAGAACAGAATAGTTAGCTGTCTATGTAACTCATAATTTATAATGTGGTATATTAGAATATATTCTCGGGAATTTGTTTGCATGAACGGATGCAAAATATATGAACATAGAACATACATTTGGGGAGAGATGAATAAGAACTATAAATGAATCAGGGAAACAGAACTGTATCTTAGTATATTTGTTTTTAAAACCATTTTCATTCCTCTTTGATTAAAAGTAAAATTTCCTTAAAGTGAAGCTCACTTCCTGGGGATTTCATGAACTCATTCATTTTCTTGGTAGAAGTGGTGGAAGTTATTTGCCATTGCCTTTTTCATCAAGTCTAACCTACAGTTTTGGTATTACCATCTGATTTTTAATCAGTTCCAACATGTTTAGTTTTCAAGACCAGATAACATCAGCCATGAACCGTGGAGAGCAACTAAGTTCCTGCGGCAAAACTATTCTACTCTTTAAACATCTTTAGAGTATTCAATAAAGCAATAAAGCATTTTGCAATGGGCTTCTCAGATTCTGGACAGAAACTGGCAGTTTGCAAAATATTCCTAAACTCAGAACATCTTCACAGGTTTTATTTACCAAGAAAATGGATAGCTACTTTCCTAGCATATCAAAAGGGGGCTAGGAGGATCAAGAAATCCTTGCCTAATACAGTGAAAAATAATTGAGTTCTAAAGTAAACATATCCACTTGCAAAGATTTCTGTGTCCTTTCAATAAATTTGGTTAAAGAAGACTCAGTGAAAATCCTGCTTTTTTGATTGCGAGTATCTGCTTAGGTAGTAATAAGCACTTACTCATACACCGTTCCATTGTGCTTTACAGAACCCTCTAAGCCATTTACAGAGTCAGCATATTGCCCCCAACAATCTAGGTCCTCATTTTACCAATCTTGGAAGAGTGGAAGGCTGAGTCAACCTTAAGCCAGTCAGGATTGAACTCCTGGCAGTGGGCAGAGTTTGTCTGCAATACTGCATTCTAACCACTGTGCCACTATGGCATTAGCATTAGTCTTGACACTTGGATTTCCAAAACTATTACATTGTTCTTTCATGGTCTCTGCTTCCTGCCTTTTCAGTCTGAGTACCCAACTTCAATATTTCTACTTCTGTTCTGTTCTACTCTACAAAGCAATTTCACACAGCAAACTCCATGAACATGTTTATGCAATTTTCCTGCCAACAGTATGAAAATGGTTCGCTGCTGTCTTTCCAAATCTAGATTTTAACAGCCATATGTTGCCACCTGTTGAAACATCAAGACATTTCATACACGGAAGCAAGCTACCATAGTGCAACTTTCAACTCAATAACCTGGACATAAGGATTCTTATCAAATTATTGCTAAATAACTGTATTTTGCATAAATCAATTTCCTCTGCAAAATAACTGTTTTGTCTATTTTCCTCATTAAATTATAATGTTATTTTCATTTAAGGAAAAAAGGTGAATTTAGGTAAATGCAATTATATATCTGCATACTGGAGAGTTGTAACAGTTAAGAGCTATGTCATCTAGATGCTACAGTGTGCACTCTCTGCACCTTTACTTTTCATTCCAATTCCATTATCTTATGACCTCATTCTTAAGATCTTTCTCTTAAAATATGTTATTGTATTAAGTCACTGTAACAATATCCCCAGGGTTTCCTGAAACTTCCCACTGACCTTTTGTTTTTATTCACAAGCTGCTTTGTAGCAAAGATTTAAGAAACTTCATGAAGGAGAAACTATTGCTATACATACAAACATACCCAGAATCTGAGTCAGTGAGTGGAAAAATAAGCTAATACAATGGTAGATCTTTCCAAATTTAATACAAATTTGGTTCTACCAGTATGAAATAAGCTTGCTCTAAAAAACAAAATAGAGAGCTACAAACTATTGTAAAGCATGATAAGACATTTAAAATGGTATTTTATAAAGTAATTCATAATATTCTTTTTCTACATTACTCCCAATTTGAAGGCAGTTTGTAATTATGCCTACAAGAAACTGAATAATCATTTTTACCAAATATCCAATTTTACTGTCAAGTTTTTTTTTTTAATTGAATGTTGTCAGGTTCTGCTTTTTATTTTTGGGGCCTTTTATGTTTCTCATTCTATTCATTTCAGAGTTTAACAACTGCTTCCGGAGAAAAAGATACAGAACTGTGTGAAAACAAAGACCGTTTACTATAAAAAATGAAGTAAACATGGATTGCTATATTCTTTACGTAAAACAAAGAAACAAAACCTGTATTGTGCTATATAGAAACTGGACCGCAGATAATGATCACTCAAGTATGACAATAAGAAATCCATCAAAATGTAAATTGGATTTTGGCATGGCTAACTTAATTTTTCTAATAGGATTTGGAAACAAAAGTGCTGAATACATTTTACTTGAATTCTGTGTGTTTGCAAATCATGATACAGAACTTGCCAATAAAATAAGGTCAACATAACACTAGTAGACCTTTCCTCAGATTACTATCAAAATTTACAATACAAAATTAAATATTGTTCAGTTTCTGGGAAAGAGGCCTATGAAAATGAGGACATTGCTGCTTCTCCTTCTAAAACATTGTTAACATATTTATTTCACACCCAGTCATTTATTTTGAATAGTGTATAGCTATAACAGTAGCTTGGTGCACTGAAATGCCAAATGTAAAGTTGAAAGTTTGGAAAAGTTGCAGATGGGATACTATATATCTATGAATTAAGCACCAAAATGATTATATTAACTCTGAATGCCCTCTTATTCTTGCCCTATTAAAGGCACGAACAAGTGCTATAAGAAGTTGTATCACCAAATGTAGCTACCATTTGAAAGTGCTTATTAAAAAGAAGTCCAATAGAATCTCTACTGGCATGGGAGTTCAACTCTCTTGCCAAAAACAGCACGTTTAAATTTTATGAGACAAAGTAATGAGTATCATGGAGAATCAAAACTTTGTTCACACAGCTCACCCTAAGGCTTCCTAACTAACCTTTACTGGGATTGTAGCCACAGAGATGAAATCAGCTCTATAAAACCCACTTCTGAAGATCATTATGTTCAAAATAATTCATGGGAACCAACCAACCCAACAAATAAATAACTTAGAGTTTTCAAATAAGAGGTCTGTATTGTGCCTTGTCATTTAATAGCTCCACAAACTCGTCCTAGAATAAGAAATGCCATTAAAAATGGAACATGATCTCTCAGTCTGTCCTGCATGGAAAATGATCAAAGCTACACAACCATGAGTTTGTTTTATAGCCTTAATCGTTTTTTTCCTGTTTAAAAATTATTTGACCCAAACAGACCAATGGAAAATACTAACAATATGATAACAAGCTGTGAACGTTTGAAATCCTGATTTTAAAAATGTATGGAAAAACCCTGATAACACACCAGAAATAAATATTTAACCATTTATTGTTTTAAAGCAAACTCAGTATCTGCTGGGAAACAAAAGAAAAAGATCAACCATAGAATTAAAACTAATTTAATACAGTTTACACTTTGAATATTATATCTGTGCAAACAATTTAACAAAATAATTTGAAATGCAACCAAAAACTCACTCATTATTCATCCCTTTTGGGTTTTTCTGAGTTTCTGCATATAAATATCCTACTGATTTAAAACAAGAATGCCTGAATTAATCAATAATACCACAGTTTCAAGAGATAAGGTCCAGAGGTGGTATTCAGCAGGTTCTGACCAGTTCTGGAGAATCAGTAGCGTAAATTTTGAGTAGTCCCCCCCACTTCACAAAAAGTGCAAAGGTTTTTCCCCTGATGACCATGCTAGACAGATCAACTCCAGTTGGAGATGGAGTGCCAAACTATACACAGCTTTATAATTAAATCAGCACTCCCAACCAAAATCCTCTGGGGAGTTTTAAGTACAGATGTAATATGCTCGTGGTGAATAACACTTGCCATCAAGTAGGCATATGCTTTTTGTAGCAAATTGTATCTTCTAAGGGCTTCAAAGTCATCTCTAGTAGAATGCAAGGCAAAAAGCTTAAGTTATAGCAATGAGAATATGAAACAAGGACTAAACTTTGGTGTAATTGTTCACTCACACTCCTTTATATATCAGGATACACATAAATGGGATCTGACAAAGAGGTATGTAAAAGATCAGAAAATCTAATGGGGCAGTTACTTTTTCCATAAAAACATATAGCATATATCTTTCCCCCATCTCGGTTCTGGAATTTTAATGGGTTTTCTTCTTACCAGATTGTACATATTATCCCGCACAGCCCTGTCAGGGTATTATAAAAATATGCTTCTACCTCAGCCTATATGTCAATGTGGGAATTTAGTTGAGTCAAAGTCCTTGAGCCAAATGCTTCTCTAGTGGTCTTTTTATAGGGAGCCCTGCAGACACCTGTCTATTCCATTTTGAAGAAATATGGTGGGACAGGGTAAAATGTTTTCCTACTGGTTCAATGTGAGTGTGTGCTTTGCACGCACACAGCATTTACAACTCACCTTCTGCTGCAAGTCC